TGTGTCTCTCTCTGTCAAATAAATAAAATCTTTAAAAAAATAAAAAATATATTTTGATTTGGAATTAATACACAATCACATACTTTTAGAGCCAATTAAATCTGTATTCTAGGAGAAAATTTTAAAAGGTAGTAGTGGTTTGGACCAGGATGATAGGAGTGGAGGCAGAGAAAAATGGTTGGATTCAGGTGGACTAGATAGGATTGGATATGGAATGTGAAGGGAATAGAGTCAATTTTGATAACTCCTCTAAGTTTTTAGGTTGAGGTAAATGATATGGGCAAGACCAAGAGCAAGTGTGGGGGAGTGTTGTTTTAGATAGAGAAGACTTCTCTGGTAAGGTGACCTCTGAGCAGAGACCTGAGTGTCATGAGGTCAGTGTAGCTAATTGGGTGAAGAGTGGTTTACTGTAAAGGCTCACTAAATAAAAAGGCTTTGAGGCAAGAATGTGTGCATGGAAATGGAAATGTAATGTAGGCATGTGGATATAGCAGTTTAGATTTACAGGGTAAAGTTGGGCCTGAAATAGATAATGCAAGTTATCGGTGTCTCGATGGTATGTGAAGCCATGGGACTGTTTGAGTTCACTCATGGAGGGTAGATAGAAGTCAAGCCTTGAGCTCTAGGACACTCTTAGCATTCTAAAGTGAGAGATGAGGAAGATTTAGCAAAGCAGACTGGGAAGGAATGTTGAGGGAAGTAGGAGAATAAGAACTAAGAGTGTGAAAGTGGGTGTTTTAAGTAATCTTATATTGTTACTTGAAGAGGTATGAAATCAGTATAACCTTTGTTTTTCTTTTGTGTTAAAACACTTTCATTACAAATATGTTCTTGTCTATTCATTGCTAGAATGCAATGTTCTCTTAGTGTATGTTCTCTTAGTAAAATGTTGTTGAAAGACCAGGTAGATAAAAGTGCCATGGTAGGGAAAAGGACTGCAGTACAACTCTTGAACTTTTCTTAGCTGATAGAGTGAATTTTTTTTCAGATCAAGTCATGATGTCAGCCTGTAATCCTGCAGTTTTTAATTTCTACAATTATCTAAGAACACATCCACTTTTGCTAAGACGTCATTTTGGATCATCTGATGTATTGTCCACACACATGAGTTTAACAGGAAAAAGCGGACTGGCAGGAACAATTAATTTAAGTGAAAGAAGATTATTTTTTACCACTGCCAGTGCTCATTTGAAAGCTGGCTGCCCTATGTTAGCTTTGGAAGTATTATCGAAGATGCCAAAAGTTATCAAGAAAACAAAACCTTTTTGCAGAACATCTAGCTTTTTGGATACTAGTAAAGACTGTTCTCCTTCTCCATTAAAATTGGATGCAAGGGAAGATAAGTCTTCTGCTATTGATTGGTCACAGTCACTAATGAATGGTTTTGGATCTTCTTCAGAAGGTTCCTCAGAGAAGCAGTCAAATTCCACTCTTTCTTTTGACTGGAGCCAACCAGGTGTTGTATTTCAGGATGACTCTTTAGAATTAAAATGGGACAGTGATAACGATGAAGAAGATGAGGATCTCCCTATTTCAATGAAAGAACTAAAACCTTTACAGAGAAAAATGGGGAAGAAAATAGATGAAACAAGTTCTAATTACACAGAATCTCTCAGCACACTAGATGAAAACGACATTTTAAGTCCATCAGAAGATATAATTGCAGTTCAATTAAAATTTAGAGCATGTTTAAAGATTCTTACAGTAGAACTTCGTACGTTATCTACTGGCTATGAAATAGATGGTGGAAAGTTGCGTTACCAGCTCTACCACTGGCTTGAAAAAGAGGTGATAGCTCTTCAGAGGACTTGTGACTATTGTTCAGATGGTGAAGACTTACAGCCTGCACTTGGTGAAAATGGAGATGAATTTGGATTAAATGGAGATGCTGAAGATTTGCTTCAGCAAACGAAAGTGAAACAACTGAGAGAAAATTTTCAGGAAAAAAGACAGTGGCTTTTGAAATATCAGTCACTCTTGAGGATGTTTCTGAGTTACTGCATACTTCATGGGTCCCATGGTGGCGGTCTTGCCTCTGTGAGAATGGAATTGATTTTGCTTTTACAAGAATCTCAGCAGGTATGTAACTTAGACGACGGCCAGTTGAAATAGTACACGTAGGAGAAACAGGTTTTGGTATTGTTCTTTTTGTCTTTAAATATTCAGATTTTTGGTTTTCTTCATTATGGTTGCTTTAAGGAATGCTCTTTTTTTATGGTGCTTTGTATTATGAATTTGTAGAGTTGTGTGTGTGTAACGGTTTCAGGATCCTTCAGCATCGGGCCCTGTGATCGGGTGAATTCATACTCTGAATTCTTTTTTTTTTTTTTTTTTTTTTTATTCTTATGTTAATTCCCATACATTACATCATTAGTTCTAGATAAAGTGTTCCATGATTCATTGTTCGTTCATACTCTGAATTCTTATCTGAGTGCTGGGGGAGCTGATGAGCTTCTCGTTAGGATAAGAGGGTATCGTCCCCTCATTCTTTAGTATATTTGGTGGAATGTTGACCTCCGCAGGTCCCATCTAACTCTGTACAAGTTTCTGTCATGCTTTTAATTTTGGGTTGTTTTAAAGGTTTTCCAAGAGGCCCCTGAATTAGTGAAGTAAGGCATTAACACTATAAATGGTTGGTTGACCTTTTTTCCCTTTGTTTTTAAGGAAACCTCAGAACCGCTCTTTCCCAGCCCGCTGTCAGAGCAGACCTCGGTGCCCCTCCTCTTTGCCTGCACAGCCAGTGCCAAGACAGTCGTTGCCAACCCGTTGCTGCATCTCAGTAACCTCACGCATGATATTCTGCACGCCGTCATAAACTTGGATTCACCACCCCATCCTGACATCCAGAGCAGCAGAGTAAGGACGCTGGGTTCATTCTTTAAAACTTAGCTGCGTGTTATGAGAAAACCGAAAGAAAAACGTAAAGCAGCACTTTTTAGAAGTAGTTTTAAATATCAGACTACGCACAGGAATTGTTACATTACCACTTACATGTTTTTTGATCAAAGAAAACTTGTGGTTGTAGGCCTGGCTCACCTCACGTTGTTCTTATCCCAGTAGGGTGTTTGAGTTTTTAATCACAGTGCTAGTTATTTAGTCTTATTTAGCCGCTTTATTAAGATAAGAGTAGTAGGTGTGTATACAGATACATGAGTGATTCTCTTAGTATTACACTTCGGCGAAAAGCTGATTGCCTTTTAGAAATAATTTTGGTGTAAAGTTATTAATATACAAATAAAGTTTTTTGTTAATATTAAAATATTAGATATTTTAAGGATAATGTGAAGTAATTTGCCCCTGTTGTTTCTCTAGGCCAGGCAGTGTTTTATTAATCAGCTACGGCAGAATCACCTGACATGCTTGTTAGACGTTTGGATTCTTAAGTTGACTCCAGACTTACTGAATCAGTGTGTGAGAGTGAGTCCTAAGAATATCTATTTTTAGGAAGTTTCTCAGGTGATTCTGATGCATAACTAATCATATAGTTAGATAATCATCCACATCATCTTGCCATCCATCACCACTATACTTTGTCATTAATATCACATTTCATCTTTCCTCTTTTTACTCTCCAAACATACTGAAATCCTTTAAAGTATGACCAACTTTGACTATTTCTCTTTTTTTTTTTTCCTTGAATAGTCTGTCATCTGGTTCTCGCCCACCTCACAGGCTGTGATATCACACCAGTTCGATATTCTCCTTGCCTAATGGTGGCTGCTCCTACAGTTTCACCCTCTTGGATAACCTTAACCTTTGTCATTTAATTTTGTCACTTTTCCTGTACTCTTCTGTAGTATAAATGCCCACATAGTGTGTTATACAGTAAGGAATTTAATTTCCTTCAGGTTGTGCACAATTTTAGTAATAAGCAGCTTTTGCTGCTTGAGAACTACGCCGAAACATTAGTATCTTCAAATGGCTGTCATTTATTTTGCTCATGATTCAGTGGGTTGGCTTCTCAGTTCTTATTTGGGCCAGCTGGACTGACCTCTGGATATTTTCATTTGTCTTTGACCAGCTAGTAGGCTGGCTGGATTCTGGATTAAGATGGCCGTATTTACATTTTTGGTGGTTGGCAGACTATTTCCAGGGCTGATAGTCGACTATCAAGCAAGCCTAAGTTCTCTAGAAAAACAGAACCAATAGGATGTGTGTATGTGTGTGTATAGAGCTCTGTTTTATAAGCAGTTGGCTCACATAATTACAGAGGCAGAGAAGTCCCAAATCGGCGGTCGTCAAGCTAAAGACCCAGGACCTATTGTGTAGTTCCAGTCTGGGTCTAGAGGCCTGAGAACCAGGAGAGCCAGTCGAGTGTAAGTTCTAGTCTGAAAGCCAGCAGGCTTGAGACCCCAAAAAAGCCAGTGTGTCTGTTCTAGCCCAAAGGCAGGAAAACACCACTATTCCAGCTCAGTGCAGCCACGCAGAAGTTCCTTTTTATAGCTTTATTGTTTTATTTCGGCCTTCAACTGATTGGATGAGGCCTACGCACATTAGGGAGGGCAGTCTTCCTTAGTCTTCCACTTCTATCAGTGTCATTTGCATCCCACGTCAGCCTTACAGATACACCCAGAATGTTTGGCCAAATGTCTGGACACCCCTTGGTCCAGTTAAGTTGATATTTAAAATTAACCATCATGCCTAGGTTATTTCACATAGAGGTTGCAGGGGTTTAAAAAGCAAGAGAATTTGCAAGCCCTTTCGAGGACTAGGTTCAGAAGTCACATATCATTTTGCCCTCTTGGTCAAAGCAAGTCCCAAGGCCAGTCTAGATTCAGTAAGTGGAGGTATAGACTCCACTTTTTATTGGAGAAGCTGGAAAATATTCTGATCATTTTTGTAATTTCCCATATTTGGACTTGCTGTCTTCATTTTTATGATATTCTTGATTTTAATTCATACCACACATCTTAATTGATAATTGAAGGGGAAATAGCAATTCTATTTTTATCTACATAGAAGAGTGTCATACTTCATGATTAGGTCAATAACCTAGTCTTTTAAATAGTCTAAGCTAGTTTACTTTCTGACCTGGGTTGTGCTTCTCAGACCTTCCTCTCTCATTGCTTGTCATGCCATGTTTAGAGACTTCTCTTTCTTGGTACAAATGTTTGCCCTTCAGTTGCTGTCTTTCAAGCCTTCTTTCTGTAAATAATTGCATTTTCTTTAGATTGCTTGTTTTCTCCAGTAGCTAGAATATGTGGTAGCATATGCTTCAATGACCTGTCCATAGGTAAACAGTCATTTCTCAGACTGAGCTTTTACATATTTTGGCTGAGGAAGAAGGTTGAAGTTTGGAGGTTTTTCTTTTAATACATGGCTTATGCACTACTGAATAGTGAACATCTGTTCCCATTTGTTCTTGAAATAGAAATTAGGTAGCAGGTGTGTGTTTTATGATTTCTGCCAATGGCCTTAGTGTTTTTAATTTGTCTGTAGTGTGATCTCTATAGGTATAAATGAGTGTTAAGGAAAAAAGGACATAGTTTCTAGGGACAAAATAGTTTTTCCATCTTTTTTATGTTGCTGAGTATAGTAGGTCTTGAAACAAGTTTGATTTTTTTAAAGTTATACTTAATTTTGTTTGTTTGTTTGTTTTTCAGGTATATGTAATGCATACTTTAGCAGCCTCACTTTCTGCTTGTATTTATCAGTGCCTTTGTGGTAGTCATAACTACAGGTAAATATCTTTTTGTGAAATTTAGGAATGTTCACGGTAACTGATGAGGTTCCAGAATTTGTGCGCTCTTGCTTTAGAAAAAACTGTTTATCAAGTCTAAATAACGCAAAAGTATTTGAAGTGATAAGTACTATTTTTCCATCTTTGAATTTTAGCTTCTGCCTTTATGGCAAATGAATGTTAAGTAGACCCTTGTCAGTGTAACTAATTTAGCTAACTTTTATTGATCACTGCCTAATGCCAGGCATTGTGATATGCACTGAGATAAGTTCTCCTTTCTTGTGGTCCGTCTAGTTGGAAAGAAACATGTGAGTTGGTAAGTGATATATATAACATGACATTACACTTAAGTGATAAGTACTGTAGTGTAGTTATATTATAGTTATTATAAACAATATTATATACTATAATATTATAATGTACTATATTGTATAATTATAATGTATATAATATAGTGAAAGGCTCAGGGAACACAAAGGAAGGAGTAATTGACTTGAAATTGGGAAAAAATTTACCAAAGAGTGATGTTTATGATTTGTCTCTTTTTTTTTTTATTCTTATGTTAATCCCCATACATTACATCATTAGTTCTAGATGAAGTGTTCCATGATCCATTGTTCGTGCACAACACCCAGTGCTCCATGCAGAACGTGCCCTCCTCAATACCCACCACCAGGCCAACCCATCCTCCCACCCCCCTCCCCTCTAGAACCCTCAGTTTGTTTTTCAGAGTCCATCTTCTCTCATGGTTCGTCCACCCCTCTGATTTCCCCCGCTTCATTCCTCCCCTCCCGCTACCTTCTTCTTCTTCTTTTTTTCTTAACATATCTTGCATTATTTGTCTCAGAGGTACAGATCTGAGACTCAACAGTCCTGCACAATTCACAGCGCTTAACAGAGCACGTACCCTCCCCAGTGTCTATCACCCAGTCACCCCATCCCTCCCACCCCACCCCCCACCCAGCAACCCTCAGTTTGTTTCCTGCAATTAAGAATTCCTCATTATGATTTGTCTCTTTATAGCCTAAGGTTTCACTATAATTTAGCTAGACTTTTAAAACATACTGTTTGACACTTTGGTATCTTCCTTTAGTTCTTTGAAATTCTCTTTCCTTTTTAAAAATTTTTATTTAAATTCCAGTTAACATACAGTGTAATATTAGTTTCAGATGTACAATATAGTGATTCAACACTTGCATATATCACCCTGTGCTCATCACAAGTGCACTGCTTAATCCCATCACCTATTTCACCCATCTCCCCCTCCGACCTCCCCCGTCTGGTGACCATCAGTTTGTTCTCTAGAGTTAAGAGTCTATTTCTTGGTTTTCCTCTCTCTTTTTTTTCCCCTGTGATCCTTTGTTTTGTTTCTTGACTTTATTTCTTTAAATATTTTGTCTTCTTTCTCCTTTTTCTTATTAGACAGGTATTGGAATTTACAGGTTTCTCTTATTTTCCTTTTAGCTTTCATCTCATATTTTTTTTTCTTTCTTTATTTTTGCTTTATTTCAGGAGGAATCCTGGTTTCATTTTCCAGATGCTCACTCGTTCTTCAGCAACGTCTTGTCTTTTATTTAGCCTGAGGTTGTGTTTTAGAAATTCTGTTTTTCATTTTTAAGATCTCCTTGTTGATTTTAATGGTCACTTTTATTTTTATAACTTACTGTATTTCTTAATTGTTTTAACCTCTCTGAGTATAAAGCACCTTCTGTCATGTTCTGATAAGTCTGCTTCCTCAGGTGCAGGTCATTCACTGTGTTTGTTGTTTCTTACATGATGTTAGCCTTCCTTGGTGTTGTATGTGTTTCAATTCTTCCATGGGAGTCTCAATTTACTAATCTGTTTCTGTATTCCCAAGGTAGCTTCAACTTGATTTCTTTGGCCTTCGTCCTCCAAGAGTTCACTTTTCTTGTTATTGAGTGTGGCTTTATTTTCATCAACGTATCTTTATCTTTTTCGTCATTTCCATAGGCTTATTGTAGCAGGGGGGATTTTTTTTGTTGGCAGCCTGCCATCTCGAAACTGCAAAGTAAAGCATGAGAAACTATTTACAAATGCGTCAGAATGTTATGACTAATAGAAGACTTGCCAATCAGAACAGATCTAAAACAATAAATGTGCTGTATTTAAATATGGCATTCATTTACTTCACATTTGAAATAGGAATTTATGACAGGATTTAACAAAAATTTTTGTACCATTTTCTGTCAGATTTATTTCATAGTTTATATCAAGCAGCAAGTTACTTTGTTCATTCATCTGTTTATTTATAGTTTAAAGTGCCATTTACTTGGAAAAGCTTACCCTGAATTCCCAAATTGTATAAAATGCTCCCCCCTTTTGCTTTCATAGCCCTGTATGCATAGGTTTTGTCTCCAAAAGCAATATGATAGGGGCACCTGACTCTTGATTTCGGCTCAGGTCATGATCTCAGGGTCATGGGATCAAGTACCACTTTGGGCTCTGTGCTGGGTGTGGAGTCTGTTGAGATTCTCCCTCTCCCTCTGTATCCCCTCTTTCCCCCCTTCCCCGCTCTCTCCCTCTCTCTGTCTCTCTCAAAAAAAAAAGAAAGAAAGAAAAGAAAGGAAGCGATATGATGAAATTATTTGTGTCTGATTCTTCCACCAGACTATAAATTTCATGGATACAGAAACCACATTTTTCATTATATCCCTGGTACCTTGTATATATACCTGATGTAACCTATCCTGATGTAACCTATCCTGATGTGGGGTTGACAGCCATTAAATATCAAGCTGAACCTAAACTGACTTTGTTTTCAACCAGATAACCTTGTTTTGAACTTTGATAGAATAGCTTGCTGTTTGTGGTCAGTAGTGATTTAGTTTTCTCATTTGTATGTATTCTATTTCTTTCATTAAATAAATATACTTAAAACCTATCACATGTATTTTAATTTAGAAAATTTGCATGTTTACACTTAAAGGATACTTGGTTTTATTATATCACCAGACTATAGAGAACACTACTTAGATCAGTAATAGCAGTATAACTAATAAAAACTTGAATTTTAAGATACCCAGAAGTTAGATCTAAGACATGGAAATATTACATGTGAAATTCATTTTAGATCATTATATTTTTATTATTATTTTCTTATATGGTTATTATTGCCGATTATTCTTATTTAAATGTCTTCTTTTCTTAGTTCATTTCAAACAAATCAGTTTACTGGAATGATGTATCAGACAGTCCTGCTTCCCCATCGACATTCTTTGAAAACAGGAAGCTTAGATGAAGCAATAACTCCTAATACATCACCAGCACAATGGCCAGGTACAAAGAATTTATGTATATATGTACGTAAATAAATATATGTGAGTTTTTTCTTAGCCTTATTGAATTTAATCAGATGAGGAAAAAGTACATATGGTGTGGTTTTGCTGCACGATAATCACTGTTAAATATTGTTAGAATTGATAACACTTCAGTATTTACCACTCATTGTAAATTTCGCAGTTACTTAACATTGGTATTTCCTTGACCGTTTACTAAAATAACTCAAATGTTTTGTTACATCACTTGTTATAATTTTTTGTCATAATAGAAGTACATTTGTTGTGGGAATTAAATTTTATCTATCAGATTTGTATTAGATGATAGATTTTCATTGTTTCTCTAAATTGAATAGCTCAGTATTTGTGCATTAACTGTAATAACTTCTAGTCTGTGAATCTAGAGAAGAAAAAACTTTAATCCTGGTTTAATAAAGTTTTTTCAAAAATTAAAAGTACAGTTAATTTTTTATTTTTAAAATTTATTGTCAGTGGTAGCTGTTGTTTGTTTGTTCTAGGAATCACTTCTCTGATTCGACTTTTGAATTCTTCTGGCGAGGAAGCCCAGTCAGGGCTTACAGTCTTGCTCTGTGAGATTCTCACAGCAGTGTATCTGAGTCTCTTCATCCATGGCCTGGCAACACATTCTAGTAATGAACTGTTTCGGATCGTGGCCCATCCCCTGAACGAAAAAATGTGGTCTGCTGTGTTTGGTGGAGGTGCACATGTTCCCAGCAAAGAACACACACACTCAAAAGCTTTACCTGGTTAGTTTTTTCATGTTTGTTTGTTTATTTATTTTTAAGACTGAAACTTTTATTTGTTCGTCTGAATGATAACTTTGTCAAGTGTAATTACATTTAATTTATTCACAGAAAGTTTTTGTTACAGACCATTTTCTTAAAGCGTGAACAAATGGTTTCATGGTGAAAATGCAGTGTCCAGTTTCTGGTGCAGTTTTCAAACTATAAGACACTTGTGCAGCAGTGATTAGAACTATCTAATGTAATTTTCTTAAATCTTTTGCTGTTGAAATGATCATTTGTTTTGAAATATACTGTAACACTGGTCTTTGTTCTATCCCAAATACAGATTTTCTCTTCTTTCTTTGGCAGGAAGGCACTTTGCTATGCCTAGCCCCCACCAGGTAGTGGTATTCTCCATGGAATGTGTGGGCTTTACCAAAGCTCTTTCAACCATCAGTTCTCATAGCCCTCCCAGTCTTGCAGGCAAGATATTAGTTTTAGAAATAGGCTTTTACGGCTCAGCTTGCTTTGTGTTGTTTTGGAGGGGTTGGGGTACCTTGGGCCTGTTTTATTTTGTATGGCTCTTGAAATAGAAAATTGAGAAATTTCCTTTAATCAAGCCATATTTTTGATTTAAAACAATGATTAGCATTTCAGAAAACCATCTCTGCTTTTTATTCTGCTTTTAAATTATTTTCCTTTGATGTTTTCCATTCCTTAGACTTTAACATCTTTTTAAATGTGTAGGAATAAATGTCAGTGCTAATCATAGTAAATCAGAATGGCTTGAAATGTCTGGAAAACATTTCAAATGAGGCTGCTTTATGTTTTGCATACTATGATTCTGGCCATTAGGGGTTTTGGATTTCTAAGTGTTCATAATACCAGGAAAAGTGAATATTTTAAACAACTGTATCCCTGTTTCTAAACTTTCTAATATTGAAACTATATATATTATATTTTGATGTGAAACGAATCTTCATAATGCTTTCTACCTAGCTGTTAAATTTTCTTTTTGTAATTTATTAGCTCATATGTGATAATCTTTTTTTAAAAAATGTCTTCATTTTTATGACGTCTCTTCTCATTTTTAAGGGGTAATTTCCTGTGCTTTATTTTTTATATGGATGAAAAAAAAAAAGAGAAAGACTATAACTTTTCATGAAATTTGCCTTGGAATATATATATTTAACTTCAGATAACTGAATTCAATTAAAGAAAAACTTTCAAAGTCTAAGAGGGAGTAAGATTTATAGCTCTACTGAGATTAGCATTAAAAAAATTGGTAAACTAATTGTGGCCCTGTTTTTAATGTGTCCTAAGAGAAAATCATTTAAACATTTGATCTGGTTAATACGAAATGTTAAAAAGGGATAAATTCTTGCTATGGAATGTCCAGATACCTGTAAAAAATTAAAAATATTCTTACTAACCAGTTACCATGTCTCAATTCCAACCATTTCTACTGAGTACAGATGTGTAAAGAACCTTACTCCAAGTCTAAGTTCTTTGTTGAACCACTCAGTTTTAGTTGTTTCTACACACAAATACCATTACATAAATTATCTTATAGGTACCATCATAAACTGTATTCCATCACTTACTGAACCCTAAATAGTCAAAGTGACTGAAAATTACCTGCATCTGTACATTTAATCCCTTGGTGGCAGGTAACACAGAATACTTAAAACATGTGGTTCACTAGAACCCTCAGTTTGTTTCTCAGAGTCCATAGTCTCTCATGGTTCATCTCCCCCTCTGATTTTCAGGGGAGGGGGGTGGGGGGATGGGTTAGCCTGGTGATGGGTATTAAAGAGGGCCCGTATTGAACGGAGCATTGGGTGTTATATGCAAACAATGAATCATGGAACACTACATCAAAAACTAATGATGTAATGTATGGTGATTAACATAACATAATAAAAAAAATAAATTAATTAAAAAAAAAAAAAACCATGTGGTTCACTTAGTGTTAAGGCCACATCCAGGTTATGTGATGCTCATCTTTCTTTGAGAACTCAGAAACTGTGGGGAATCAATCATAGATGTAACTTAGTACTAGAAGAGGAATTAAAAGTCACCATTTGTTTCCCTTGTTGTGGTGTAAATTCTGATTTCAGTTTTTTTTGCAATGATAGTCTCATGAACTAAATTTTTTTTTCTTTTTTATTTATTTATAGCCAACATATAGTACATCATTATCATGAACTAAATTATATTTCTCTCTACATGTCTTTTATATACGTAATACACTAATATTTTTAGTGACAAAATTTAAATATGACTAAGCCTTGTAATGTAAGAAAATGAGTATAAGTATAAAAGTATAAAAAGTGTAAGATTTCAGTTTGGCAGGTTAGAATTCTTAACAAAAATGTTAATCTAATCAGTAACTTATTTATTTATTTTTTAATCAAATTTAACTTGGTGAATTCCACATCATATATTAATGAAGGATTTATGTTTTCTGATTAAAATTAGTGCAGGTGCATTTCGTGGAGTTAGGAATTATTTTGTTACTATGGTTAATTTTTAAAAGAGAATCAGGTGAGCAATAGCAAGTTTGGAAAAATGATTTTTTTTTTCTGCTGATGGTTAGAAATCCATACTTTGCTTTTTATTGCATATTATAAAGCAAAGCAATGTTTTTATTGAAGAATTTTTATTGTATTTTGTCATAATATTTGCAGTATGAGAACTGAATTTTCCATCTTCATCTTGATAAATACATAGTAATGATTGTTTATGTCTCCACATTGAGGAATAAAATATAAAATGAGTATTTTATTTGTGGTAAGCATATCTTTTTTTTTCTAACTATGAGACTGCTAATGATGTTTTAGACATTTTAAAGTATATTTTTGCCATTTGATTATTTATGTTAAATATGGATCGGAAAATCCAAATGTTTTGCTTTTCCCCTAAAACTTGTATAAAAAAATAAAAGTTTTCTATTCAGTATTTAGCGATTATACATGTCTTTGCTATCCTTCCTTTATCAAAATATATAAAATAGCAACATTTCTTGACCAGAAAAAGTATAAGACTCTTAAGCATTTTTAAAATAGAAAACGATCAGCTATTTACAATACAGATGAATATGCCCAACAATTTTAACTGGCTACTGAACCAAAAAATAACTAGTTTTGCCAGAGAAGGGAATACATCTTTTGTTAGACTCCTTGCGCAGACTTCTTTTTTGAGGGACACATATAAATTTTCATTAAAAAGCATCTCTTCATTTCATAACTACCATATTTGTCCCTTTGTGACAGGCTTATTTCACTTAGCACAATGTCCTTGAGGTTCATCCGTGTTGTGGCATATGATAGAGTTTTCTTTGTACAGCTGAGTAATATTTCACTGTATGTATGTACTCCGTTCTCACTTTTAATAAGTCTGTTGAGCTGGAGATGAAATCTTACAGGCACACACATGGTCTTCATGGTGATGGAAAAATAGTGTTATCTCCAGATTTTTTATTATATAACCCTATCCACAAAACATGCATGAGCAAATCCTCAGTATGTATGTATGTGTTTATTTGTAAATACATGTACTCTTGCTGATCCAGATATTAAACATTGACAGATTTTCTTCTTCCCCTTACCACTTCCCTCCCCTTTCTGCTTCCCTTCTCCCACCTCCCTTTCTTTTTCCTTCCTCTATTGTCTTCTCTTTCTCTCTCTTCTCCTCCACTCCACCTCTCCTCTCTTCTTTTCCTTCTCCCCTTCTTACCCTGTTTCTCTTTTCTTCCTTCTCCCCACTTCTCCTTATTAAAAAATCTAAGTAGTAGTTGTAATATTTTCTTTCCATATTCCAGTGAATCACTCTGAACACCAACTATCTTGGAAACTACTTGCTCTGTGATTTGGAGACAAATCACTCCTTTCTACTAAGATAGTCATCATTTCATTTTTATAGGTACTTATGAAGCAGGTACAAGGTACCACTGCGCCCTACCAATCCTTGAGAGTCCATCTTTCTAAAATTGGAAAATTTCACCTGTCAGACATTTTTTTTGCATTAATTTTATTCTTTGAGGATTAAGAAGTACCTTAAATTTATTACTCCTTGAATCTGTTTGGGTCTTTTCCTTTTAAGAATCTTTGAAGTTTACTTGTAAAGTCATGTTTTACATATAATTTTGAGAATTTTTTCTATATAATTTGTGTTGGCCTATATTTGTACTTCTCAAACTTTTTGCCTCAAGTGGATGCTAGAGGAGAGTGAGTATATGTACCTCTTAGGAGATCTCTTATGCTGAATTATCTTGCCAAAAGCAATAAATAGATTCGGGATCTATTTTATCTTGAACTTACATGACTTTTATCTTCTCCATATCTTTGTTTCTTTCCAATAAAATATTTTAAATCATCATTTAAATTACTTTCATCATCCCACCCCCTAAATTTTGGAGCTAAACTTGAAGGTCCAGGACAATGTCCCCCCTGAAGTTTCATGTACTCTGTGACACACTCATGAATAGTCTTGTGATAAGTGTGCCTTAGATTGAGATGCAGAGAATGAGATCATTCTGCTGGTTACTTTGAGGTCACTTTTTAAAAGAAAAAACATTTAAGTCTAGGTTTAGAATATTAATTTTGTTTGATTTAAAATGATAAACTTGGGGCACCTGTGTGGCTCAGTCAGTTAAGCTCCTGCCTTCAGCTTAGGTCATGATCTCGGGATCCTGGGATCAAGTCCTGTGTTGGGCTCCCCGCTCAGTGGGGAACAGCTTCTCCCTCTCCCCCTGCCCCGCCTCCCCGCTCATGCTCACTCGTGCTTTCTCTCAAATAAATAAATTCTTTTTAAAAAATAAAATAAAATTACAAACTCAAAAAGTGTTAACTTGTTTTGATTAAAATCAAAACAATATATGTGCATGGTAATAAATCCAGTAGTCCAGAAGAATTTATGATAAAAAGCAACATTGTCTTTCTTACTCCTCTGTACCTCCTCTGCCCATTCTTTAGATGTAGCCTCTTAACCATTTCTCCATTTCTGTTTTGAGTTCTTTAGGAAGTCACATCCATAGTTCCAGGAAGTCACTGCAGAATGTACTAGGAGTGAGGATAGAAGTTCTTAAAATGGAGGGGAAAGTCCACTATCTTGACTTTAAAAGCACTTCTTAAAAGTACTTTCTATGAATCCAAAGCAGCTAAGAAATTTAAGAAATTTATGTTAGTGAGTGATTCTGTCTTTTCTTATCCGTGGGTATGTTGGTTTTTCTTTACCCACTTTCTAGCTTCTCTATGTTCCTTATAATTTCTAAGCTCCATATCCAAGTTCCTTTTCAATTCTCCCTAATACTGTTTTTTCCTTCTATTACTAGTAAAGTAGCCATTTACCCCCTTAGTAATGCAACACTAGAGTCAGTTTTTATCCAAAGAGTGACAGAGGTTCTTGATATTTGATTATTAGCATTTTCAAAAATCAGCAGTTGAGCCCTCAGCCACTGTGCAGTCTCTATTGGTCCTTCATGGCTATGCTAACCTGCTGTGATTTAAACATAAAATTGTCTTAAGTCTTGCTGTAATTTATGGGAAAAGAAGAAGCATCTACGCTAATGAGAAGCTACAGGTTATTTCTTGTTTGCTGGGAGGCATCACTCAGGTCCTTTTATTTATAGCATTTCAAGTAATAGAACATTCAGTATTGTGAAACTGTTTGCCATTTTTTTCTTTGCTCATCAAAAGTATTTTAATAACTAGTTTTATATTTTTGGTATTGAGTCTGTAATTTTAAACATTTACCCCAGTGTGGTAACTTTTCTTATTTTCATGTCGGTGTCTGGGTTCATTGACTGTACTTGTAAAATTTTCTCTTTTTAAAAAAATCTTCTTAGGTTTTGGTTTAAAAACTCTGATTTTTTATCATATAGCTGTCTTGGCAAAAATGTATTCATTCAGTGTTTGTAAGTTTTATTTTTCCAGAGATCCTTTAAGCTCCTATGTTCATATGCCTTCTAATCTAAAAACAAAAAAAGCAAAATAGTAATGTTAAAGTCAAATGATTAATTTATTTTAAATCACAGCATTAATTTTTGAAAGGTAAAAAGTACCTTTATATTCTAAATTTTTAACTTGATCAGAATTTGATAGAATCACTGTTTAAGTTATAGAATGAATATGAATGTATGCAACATATTTTAGAAACATGATTGTTGACTATCAGTTGCTTTTAAAAACAGGAAAAAAAATTGGGGTACCTGAGTGACTCAGTTAGTTAAGCATCTGACTCTTGGTTTTGGCTCAGGTCATGTTTTCAGGGTCTTGAGATCAGCCCCATGTCAGGCTCCCGCTCAGTGTGGAGTCTGCTTCTTCCTCTCCCTCTGCCCCTCCTCCCACTTGTGCGTGTGCTCTCAAATAAATAAATAAATCTTTAAAAAAGGCAGAAATTTAACACATTTAATCTGAAAGTTCCTTTTAAAATCATTTGGGAGTTTGTGTAATAATCATACCATGTCTAAGCAATCTTTTAGAATTTTATCCATTTTAATTTCCTTTTTTTCTGAAATCACTAAATCACTCTGTTAAACTCAGCTTGGCTGTAGCTTGATATAATGCATGAGCATGCTGTTTATGCAAGCTGAGTAGCTTCAAACAATAAAACAAAATTATATTACAGGACACATATTTGCATTCCTTTGAAAGGTAAGTCAGTTCTCACTGGAACCATTGAAAGAGAATATTGGTGTGCCTTATTGTGGAGTTGTTTGCTTGTCAATTAGACATAGGCTTCTGTTTGGGACAGCCTTGGTTCTGTACTGGTGACTTGCATCTTGTGACTTAATATTTGTTATTTATATATTTGTGTAACTTGTTTTCCTTTCCTGAGGCCCTTAATACTCTAAAGTAAAATACTAAGGGAATACTAACCATTAAGTGTTTTAAAAGTTAAAACAACAAAGATTGCATTTTCTCTCTCTTTATTGTTCCACTGACCAGAAAATTCCATGTGCAAGCCATTTCCAGAAGTCTGAGTCAGTTTAATTCAGTTGTTACGTATTTGAATTTTTTATTTATTTTCAGTGAAAACATTCAGTTTTGTATGTAGATAAAAGGCCAAGGGATTACTAAAGAACCTCATAAGTGAGTTGTTGCCTTCAATTAACATTGACATCCCATGATACTGTTTGTTTTCCATGGTATTCTTCAAAGTAAAGGGATGTAGATAATTTGCTGTCATGATTTTAGCTCAATTGTGGACTCATTTATAGGCAGATATTATATCCTGTTACCCACATAACATTCAGAGAATGAGGGATAAGTTGAGATAAAAGTAAAGATTGCGTTTTACAGTGATTTTTGTCTCACTTCTACTTATTTTTTTTAACCTTACTATAGTAGTAATGATCTCAGTTTTGTGTTTGTGCTTATTGGTAACCTTAAATCTTATGTAAAGATAGATGAAATTAGTACAATGGAAATAGTACTTATTTTAATAATAGTTTATTTTGTTTTCATTAGTTTCTTCGCTTGTGGAAGAAGGAGAGAAACAGAACAAACGTTTTAGGCCATCAAAAATTCCTTGCAGAGATTCTGCCCCACCGACCTCTTCTTCATCAGTAGTCAGCCAGGAGTCACTGACAGTCCAAGAGAAGTTCATCCCACCAGAGCTCAGTATCTGGGACTATTTCATAGCCAAGGTAATAAAAGTGCCACCTAGAACAACACTTTGAATAGTGTTGCAATGAAATGGAAATGAAAATGTTTAAAATAAGTGGATTGTTGCTGCTTCCAAGTATTTTCCCACTCTGGTTTAGAAAGATTTCATTTTGTCAGGCTGCATAACAAAGCAAAGCAAAAAAAACTCAAAAATATTTGGCCATTGGGGCGCCTGGGTGGCTCAGTCGTTAAGCGTCTGCCTTCAGCTCAGGTCATGATCCCAGGGTCCTGGGATCGAGCCCCGCATCGGGCTCCCTGCTCAGCGGGAAGCCTGCTTCTCACTCTCCCACTCCCCCTGCTTGTGTTCCCTCTCTCACTGTGTCTCTCTTTGTCAAATAAATAAATAAAAATCTTAAAAAATATATATATATATTTGGCCATTTCCATCCGGTTTTTAAGGCAGCCCTTTGATAAGTTATGATTTCTATATTTTAAACAAAATACAGTTCTTAGATAAAAAGATAAATTGGTCAACACTGTAGTGCTAAGGTACTTGATGGTAATTAAGGAATCCAGACTACTAGCAGTCACAGGGCCATTGCTGCTTTCGCTCCTTTTCTGTACTGCAGATGGTCCTACGTGGTTCTCATATACACACGTTATAGTTACTGCCGTTTAGTGAAGTAACGAGTCCCTCAACAACATGGCTCAGAGTTTCCACAGTCTATTAACTGTGAGGTATTACCTCAAGTATGAACTTCCCTGCTGGCTCTTCCGTCCACATGTCACTGTGGAAATAGCAGATGCACCTCATGTGCAGTGATCAATCACAACAGTTCTTTCAGAGTCTATTGGCGATTGATCAATTAGGACCCGTTACTCAGTTCGTATACAGACAGCAGAGTGTCAAACTCAAGTGACATTTTACAAAATTGGGTAATGGGAAGAGGGAATTGTCTCACAAAAGTGGAAGTGCTACCAAACAATGACAAGTGGTAGCACTGTGAGTGACATTCAGATCGAATGTAAGCAGTGTGTCGGCTAATAGAATTTAAATAAAAAATTAAGATACTTTCTACAGAAAATAATCAAATGTAAACAGAGTTTATGGAAAAATAGCTCACATTGGGGCTAACTGACATTGCTGTCAGATTCTGGATGTGCAACCAGAGGACTTAGTGAGGGCTAACTTGTCAACAGAGGTGAGGAAAGTGTAACACAGGGATAAGGATTTTGTAGAGATAGTGAAATTGGCAAAAAAAAACCCACTTCACATTAAAGGAACTCTGGCTAATATTTCACAGCATTGAAAGTGTGAAGAATAAAATGTTGGAAGTTGATACAAATTTAGAAACAAGTATGATGGTTTGCCAAGGATTAGAAAAGATGCTTCCTTTGTATCCTAAATTACAGAGTTAGAAGAAGGCAAGCGCTATTCCAAGTACTCTTGATAAATTTTTTACATAGAAATAAAACACTTGATCAGGTACCTGGGTGGCTCAGTCGGTTAAGTGTCTACCTTCGGCTCAGGTCATGATCTCAGGGTCCTGGGATCGAGCTCCGCATCGGGCTCCCTGCTCAGTGGGGAGTCTGCTTCTCCCTCTGCCTTTCCCTCTGCCTCTCACTTGTTCTGTCTCTCTCTCAAATAAATAAATAAAATCTTTAAAAAAAAAAAAGAAATAAAACACTTAAATTCTCAATATTTCTAATATTTTAATTATAGTGTGCTAAATAAATATGATTTTTACTATTTTTTCATTTCCCTATACATTTATTGCCAACCATAAGAGTTTTAATGTTTTGAAAAATATTTTTCTTAGTCTCAGAATATTTGTAGTTTTTCCTTTGTTTATTAAGATTGCTTCACAATGGTTTCAGCTTGCTTGGTCGTTTTCATGTTCCTATGCTACTATGCAAAGCAAAAATGGCCTGTATGTGTCTTCTGCTTCTCCTGTGATCAGCCACGTCCCTCACATTCTCAACTTCTGCATGTTCTTTTTATTTTCTTCTGTTTGATAGCTAACTATTTTCTGCTGACAACAATCCTTTAGACGTGTAATGCAGTAGCTTAATTTTTTTTGTATTTTTCTTAGGGTAAAGACAGGTATTTGTCTCTCCTTGTTCTTCATTGCCTTTTGCAGAGCTATTCATTTATTCAACAAATGTTTATTGAGCCCCTTACTGATATGGGAATATCTTTATGTCATCTTCATTTTGGAAACACAGTTTTAAATGATAGAGGATCCATGATGAGGAAGGCTTCTTTAGCTCTCTTGTTCCTGGATCTTGTTAAATTTCTGGCTGGTCTGCCCTTGTCCCAATTCATATCACAGCCTCAGGCTAGTTGAGAGGTTAGCTTTTTCTAGTTGGTACTGAGATCTCTGTTGCTTTTGATGGTGCCACTGAGCCTGGAATTTTTTTTTTTTTTTTTAAAGATTTTATTTATTTTTTAGAGAGCGAGCGAGAGAGAAACAGCATGAGAGGGGAGAGGGTCAGAGAGAGAAGCAGGCTCCCCGCTGAGCCGGTAGCCCAATGCGGGACTCAATCCCAGGACCCTGGGATCATGACCTGAGCCGAAGGCAGACGCTTAACCATCTGAGCCACCCAGGCGCCCCGAGCCTGGAATTTTTATTCAAGTAGCCACCTCTGGCCGCGCAGCAGAGTTCTTCCTGCTCACAGACTGCCCAAGTGGCGGGGTAGGGTAGCAGCGGCCCCACCAAAATGCCAGGTTCTCACGGTTTCTCCAGAGATTCCAGTCAATTTTTCTTGAATAAATGCTTCTCTGTGTGTTGTATGCATTGATCAATTTCCAGTATCTTTAAATGGGTCTTTTTTACAACTTTGTGCAGTTTTACTGTTGCTTTCTGGTGAGAGGACTTAGGAGCTTCTCGCTCAGCAATTTTAGAAGTTCTCCCATTCCTGCTATGTGTCTTTACTGGGCTTCCCTACACTGAAGATTTGTAACTTCAGATTTCCCATATCACCTCTTCCATCTTTGCTCTTAACTATAAGGTATTAAAACTCTTACCATCCTGGCATGAAGCTTTAACTACATTTGTTCCCATCGTATTCATTCCTCCTGTTAATAAGGACGAAGAGTCCTTCCTATCAGAGACTTCAGTTCTGTTCTGAATCCCAGCTGTGCTTTTCTTCTCTACTTTTGACTCTCAGTTGACTGCTTCCCATCAGGACAGAAGTGTGCTCTGCTGTCTCTCATTCCAAAGCCTGCTTTGATCCCAAAACTTTTTCCAGCTATTACTCTATTTCTCTGCTTCCTGTTATCATTCAGCTTTTTAAAACTATACACACATTTTTTTTCCCTGTTATCTTAGGTCCCTTTCATAGTTACCCACTGTGTGACTTCTGACACAGCTACCCCACTGAAGCTGCTGTTGAGATTCAGGGGGCATCCAAAGGGGCATCACATATAACTGAAACTTCTTTATCATCATCTCATTTGAACTCTTAGCAATATTCAATGCATGCGACCATTTCCTCCTTGAGAATACTTTTTTGTCTTGTTCTCTTAATGCCATTCTCCTCTAGTTTTTTTTTCCCCAATCTTACTATTTCTCTTTCATAGTCTTTTTTCTTTATTCTTCCTTTTCCACTTGACCTGTGAATCTTGATCTTTTTCAAGATAGGGGTTTTTGATATTTATTTTGTCCAATACCTCCCTTTTATAAGCAAAGTTCTCTTGTACTAGTAAATGTCATCTTCATCCTAATAGTTTCTTAAGCCAGAAACCAAAAATAGTTTTTTTCCTCTCTGTCCCTTGCTCTTCATACTTTTCAGCGTATCTGTCAGTGCTTCCCCAAAATATACTGTCAGTATGTTATTTCTCTCCATCTTCATCACTAACACATAAACCCATGTTGTTGGAAACCTATCTCTGTGCTCTGCAGCCAAAATATAACACGAAGACAGAATGTGGGGATAAAGAAGAACAATAGTTTTATTGCTTTGCTAGGCAAAGGAGGCTGTAGCTGGCCAGTGCTTTCGAAATTTCAGACGCGCCTGAGGTAAAAGGTTGCGGGAGTTTTAGAGGAAAATAAAGTATCTGGGCGCTTTAGATAGGAATCTGGTATGAGCTACCAGCTCTTCATCATGTCTTCAAGGTGATGTCTGACTAGCGCCGGCCATCTGAGTCTCTTGACTGAGTATACTTTGAGGTCAGCGAGATGTCCACATTGATACTGAGCTCCCGGAACAAAGGATTCTACAGAAAAACAAGTCAAGGGTGAGGGGGCTTCAAGAATGAGGAAGAGAAAAATCTGTTCCATTTAAAGTCAAGCCTTGCTGAAGCATGAGTGTGTCCATCTGAATTTCCATCCATCTTTATGTTTCTGTAGCAGTTTCATCCAGACTGTCAACTCTTGCCTTACTTATTTACTCAAGTCTCCATTTCTAGTCTTGCCATTTGAGTTTTTCTCTCACAAGAGAGTGGGCATAGTCATACTCTTAAGATGTAAATCTCAATACCTGTCCTCCACTTAAAACTCACTAGTGGCATTCCATTACCCTCTTTACTGTGACCTACAAAGACCCTACCACACCTGTCTCCTGCCATTGTCTTCAGTGTTCATCCCAACACTTACCCTCCTGCGATAGTGGGCTTCAGCCAAACCACTTACTTTCCACACCACACTCTTTCCCATATTAACGCCTTCCTATCTACGATTTCCACTGCCTAAAATGCTTTTCTTCCCTCTTGTTTTGTGGCTTACTTCTTGTCCTTTCAGTCTCACTTAAGTGCCGGTTTACCAAGAGGCCTTTCACAATCCGCTTATGTCAGTTCTTGTTAATGCTCTCAATCCCATCTGTCCTCTTTTCTGTATGGCCCAACTAAATACAGTTTGTATTTAGTTTTCTGTTATTTGCCTGTTTTTTTCCCACGAAAATGTAAGCTCTCTGAGTGCAGTGACTGTGTTTATGTCTTAAAAATCCTTATAACGGGCGCCACCCAGATGGCTAAGCATCTGACTCTTGAGTTCAGGTCTTGATCTCAAGCTTGTCAGTTCAAGCCCCAAGTTGGGCTCCAGACTGGGTGTGGAGCCTACTTAAAAGAAAAAAATTCTTATGGCAAGTATACTTTTTGACACATTGATACTTGATAAATTTTTTGTTGAATGGCTGCATTAATAAGAGAATTATGTAAAGTGAGGTTGAAGGCATAGAATGTCAAAAAAGAAGAAGCCAAATACTGGTTACTTTACTTTTTTTACATTAAAGTATCTGAAAATGGGATAAATTGCTAATATTAGACTCTGTAATTGAATGTTTTAAATCAGAGAGTTGAATGATAAATTCTGTAACTTTTTTATTTTAGCCTTTTCTACCCCCTTCCCAAAGTAGAGCAGAATATGATTCAGAGGAGAGTCTGGAAAGTGATGACGATGATGATGATGTTTTAGCCTCAGATTTCCATCTCCAAGAACATTCTAATTCAAATTCCTATAGGTATGGAATATTTAATTTTAAGCTTCTTTTTAAAAATTCATCGTGGCTTGGGGCGCCTGGGTGGCTCAGTCGGTTAAGCATCTGCCTTCGGCTCAGATCATGATCTCAGGGTCCTGGGATCGAGCCCCGCATCAGGCTCCCTGCTCAGTGGGGAGTCTGCTTCTCCCTCTCCCTCTGCCTGCCACTCTCTCTGCTTGTGCTCTCTCTCTCTCTGTCAAATAAATAAATAAAATCTTTAAAAAAAAAAATTCATCTTGGCTTATATACATAATATTTTTGAAAATAACACATGAAATTGGTAGCTTGTTGAGTTATAGCACACATTATAACTCAGATTTCTTTAGATGAAATTGTTAAATTCCTTTCTTTAAGAATAATTACACAGTAGTTTTTTATTATCCGTGAATCGGTCCTCACAAATGCTGTCTACTTTTCCTTGCCTTTGCTCCCTGAGATAAACAAACTCCACTGTTTTAGCCTAGAAAACATAATATCTTTTCAGTATAATACTAATACTCTAAGATCAGTATAATACTAATACTCTAAGTCAATGATTACTGTCTTAAAAATGGCTTCCACATATTATAAAAATCATAAATATTCAAAATGTTCACCCTCAGCTCCAGTGCTGCTTTATCCTTATATGTATGAGTAACAGGATATTATCTTGTCCCTTTTGATACGTTGTATATCTCTGAAAGGTATATATATTTTATCAAAACATTGTATGTTAATGATGTGATAGAAAAATAGAAATTTTCCACAAGAAATAAGTAGTATATTGGCGAAAATGAAATAAAAATACTCCTTTATTGAACGGAAAAAATATTTGGAGATTTTTACTTATTGGTATATTGTTGGTTTTTTCCTGTTGACCCAATTATATATAAATTATTTACATGTCTCAAAAGTCATTCAAACTCTGTAAGTTAATAACAGCAAAAACCAAACAACCCAATTAATAAAGCAGGCAAATGACTTGAATAGATATTTTTCCAAAGAAAATATACAGATGGCCAATAAGTACAAGAAAAGATGCTCTCATTAATCATTAGGGAAATGCAGTTTGAAACCACAATGAGAGATCACTTCACGCCCCTTAGAATGACTACTATCCAAAAACCGGAAAATAACAGTGTTGGCAAGAATGTGGAGAAATTGGAACCCTTGTGCTCTATTGGTGGGAATGTGAAATGGTGCAGCCACTGTGGAAAACATTATGGTAGTTAGGAAATTAAAAATAGAATTACCATATGATCCAGCAATTTCACTTCTGAGTATATACCCAAAAGAATTAAAAGCAGGTCTTGAAGAGGTATTTGTACAAACCTTGCTTGCTTCAGCAGCGCATATGCTAAAAAAAGTGGGATTGGTATTTGTAGAAACCATATTCATAACAGCATAATAGCCAAGGGATAAAAGCACTAGGTGTCTGTTGACAGATGAATGCATAAACAAAATGGGGCATATTCATGTGATGGAATAGTATTCAACCTAAAAAAGGATGGAAATTCTGACACATGTTACAAAGTGGATGAACCTTGAGGACATTATGCTAAGTGAAATAACCAGTCCCAAATAGACAAATACCATGGCAGTGGTGAATAATTCCACATATGAGATGTGTAGAGTAATCAAGTTCATAGAGACAGAAGGTACAATGGTGGTTGCCAGGGGCTAGGAGAAGGGGGAAATGGGGAATTATTGCTTAATGGGGATAGTTCCAGTTTTGCAAGATGAAAAGAGTTCTAGAAATAGATGGTGGTGATGCCACTGAACTGTACACTTAAAAATAGTTAAGATGGTAAACTCTATATATACAATTTAAAGTAATAAAAAGCCAGTACTCTAAGAAATAAATGTGTTTCACTTTAAAAGAGAAGTTGAAATTTCTTTTTTTAATAAAACTATATAAAAATGTGAAATTGGAAGTCTCACATTTCTGTCTTCCACCCATTTCTTCTCTACACCCTCTACATCTACCCATTTTTATTAGTTTCTGTTTTACCCTTCTGTTTGCAAAAATAAGTGTGTTTGTAGGTGTGCAAAATCTTTTTTCTCTGCTTTCTTACATGGAAGGTAGCAGGTGCATAGTATATATAATGTTCTATAATTTGATTATTTATTAATACATGCTGGAGTTCACTTCATACTAACACTTCAAGATTCTTCTACATTCTTTTTTTATGGCTTCCTTAATATCCTGTGATTCCAAACCACAGTGTTTCAGCCAGTACTCTCCTGGCAGATAATTGGTTGTTTCTGCTCTTTTGCTCTTATAGGTAAAGCTGACATGAGTAACTGCATGTATATATTGTTTTGTTTTTCTGGAAGTATATCTGCAGAGTAGATTCTTGATAGTGAAATTGTTGGATTCAAGAGTGGTGTACTCTTCTAAAACCCTAAGTAAATTTTTAACAGATCTACTGTTGTTTTATTTTTAGTTGGTCATTGATGCGCTTGGCAATGGTGCAGTTAGTGCTCAACAATTTGAAGACGTTCTATCCCTTTGCAGGTCATGATCTTGCAGGTAATGAATATCTTAACATGACCTAATATTCCCGTTGTTTAGCATTTTATTTTTTCAAATAGTCGAGAAAAACTTTAGTAACTTCCTGTTGTAGAAGATAGGTTTCTTTTAACCAGACCAGCTGTCTATAAATGTGTCTGTCATACTGTTGGGTGCCATTAGGAGGACAGTGTCCAAGAAAGCAGGGGATCTGGACCTTACGTGATTGATTGTATTTGAGACTTTATTTATACCTCTAGGGGAGGTGTTGGGGGATTTAATAGCAGTAGACACATAGAAAACTAAGCAAATGTAAAAACTTAGTGATTATTAACTCCAGAGGAAGAAAAGATTGTACAGAAAGAAAGGGGTGTGATAGTATGCCACATGGTCCAGCTGTGATCTGTATTTATAAATATAAATAACAAGGTAAACACAGAAACACCAATTTAGCCAAAAATTATTATGTGACTATGTTGGAATGATGGAGAGAGTAGTTTATTCTCATATTCTGTAACATAGTAATAAATGAGTACATCATTTCTAAAATTGAAAAATCCAGAAGTCACAGTATAGGCATATTATTTAGATTTTTGGAGGTGAATAGCAAAAATAGCTAAAAGTTGAAAGTGGAGTGAGGAATCAGGAGAATAAAAGTATACAGAACTAGAAAGTGCTGAGTTTCATGTTAAGTGTTATTTAACTTTTTTTTTAACTTTTGTGTATTTTCATTTTCTAAACAAATTTTAGTTACATACCATATAGAAATTGGGCTGATGCAAAGATTTAAAGCAATTATTTTTCCTCTCAACATATTTTCATAATATCCAGGTATATTTTTTCATGTGAAATTAAAGCCAAAAGCAGTAATTGATATAGCATTACTTTATATCATAAGTCATAAATATTATTCCAAGTTGTAATAGTAAAACTGTGATGTAATTTCAACTCAGATTACTCTTTTTTTCTATTGTTCTGGGCCACCTAATTATGTTGAAATAGAGATTTATTACATCTTTTTTTTTTTTTTTTAATCCTCTGGAGGTCTCTCCCCACTCTCTTGCACATCTCCTCTGCCAAAGTGTCTATCTCAGTCATTCTTACAATCGACTGTAGCATTTTACTGAAGAAGACAAAAGTGGGTCATTTTTATTTTCTCTTTTCAGAGCTTCCAGTTAGCTCACCACTTTGTCATGCAGTTCTAAAAACTCTTCAGTGTTGGGAGCAAGTTCTTCTCCGACGACTCGAAATCCATGGTGGGCCACCTCAAAACTATATTGCAAGTCATACCTCTGAAGAGAGTTTGTCTGCAGGTCCTGCAATTCTCCGCCATAAAGCTTTGCTGGAACCTACAAACACTCCTTTCAAGTAGGTTGTCCTGTGGATCCTGTTTTTAAGTCAGAGTTTTACTAAATCAGTATGTTATTAATTAGTACTTAAAAAAAAAAAATTTAAGGCCTTCTGTGTTTCCTTCGTGGTTTTTGCCTCATATCTGTGTCTTTGTTTGATATATATTGTAGGCTTAGCAAACATTTCCTGCAAAGGTCCAGATAGTAAATATATTAGGCTTTGTGGACCCTATAATCCTTGTTGCTGCTAGTAAACTGCCATTGTAGAGTGAAAGCAACTATAGACAATAAGTAAACAAATGGACATGGCTGTGATCCAATAAACTTTATTTTCAAAAATGAAAGGCAGGCTGAATTTGACCTGTGGGCCATAGTTTACTTCCACCCACTCTGGAACAGTGCCGTTCAAAATACTTAGTTAGCAAGCTGTTTTATCATCCATGAGGAGATGAAGCATTTGCACCAAAAGGTAAATCGATGCAGTGCTTGCTTCATCAATAAAGTTTTGCTGCAAAATGTTAACTGAATTAATAAACAGTGTGCTTAGTGGTTTAGTGACATAGTTGATTTACATTATTTCACAAGTTCTTTAGTGAGCATCAGTAACAGAGTTCATGGAAGGCAGACCCTTTGAGTAGCTCTGCTTCTAGATCTCTCCTAGGAGAGATCTATTTTTCATAGATACTATGTTCCTAGGGGTTGCAAACTGCAGCCCTGACGCCACATCCACCCATCCTCCTGCAGTGTAAATAAAGTTTTATTGGATCACAGCCATACCCTTTCATTTTAATATTTCCTCTGGGTGCTTTCCTATCAGTGACTGAGTTGAGTGGTTGAAAGGCAGCCCACAAAGCCTAAAATATTTACTATCTGGTTTTTTAAGAAAAAATTTGCAGACTGCTGCCCTCAGTGATATGGTCTGATTCCGGTTAATTTATTATTATAAACATTCATAGAGCACCAAGGAAATGTGGCCGAGTTAATCAGAAATCTTCAAAGTGTATAATTAAATATCCTGTCTCTGTAGATCCAAACACCATCTGGCACTGTCTGTGAAGAGACTTTGGCAGTACTTGGTGAAGCAGGAAGAAATTCAGGAAACCTTTATCAGAAATATATTCACAAAGAAAAGATGTCTTAATGAGGTCTGTATAAGTTAAAACCTTTTTACTCTATTATTACTGAAGTCTTTTGTATTATGTAACCATAAAAAAGTTGCATTTTACAGACTTTTAAAAAACTCACTTTTATATCATAAACATTTATTATGCAGTTAGTAGATAGAAAAAGGGACTGACAAGGAGAGACGGTTAGTATTTTCCTAAATCAAGTTTTAAAGTAACTAATTCAGATGTATTTAGAACTTATTTTTCCCCAAAAAAAGATATTGTTTGAGTGAAGATTCTACATCTTGTTTGCTGTGTTTTGAGTTGTCATGATTGCCTATCTAGGAGGCAAAGTAGAAATTTCCCATGATTTTCATATGATAGTTAAAAGAAGTTTATCTTAGAAGTTTAATTGAAACTAGGTTGGTAAACTGAGAAAATTTCAAATATGTACATTTTATTCTTTTGATTATGCTTTTTTTTTTTTTAAAGATTTTATTTATTTATTTGACAGAAACATAGAGAGAGAGAGGGAACACAAGCAGGGGGAGTGCGAGAGGGAGAAGCAGGCTTCCCGCAGAGCAGGGAGCCCGATGCGGGGCTTGATCCCAGCACTCTGGGATCACGACCTGAGCCGAAGGCAGACGCTTAACGCCTGAGCCACCCAGGTGCCCCTTGATTATGCTTCTTAATGAAATTTTGTAAACACAATTTATAAGTGTACTCTAGTTGATTATACTTTGATACTATCATTATAATGATTATTTTTCTCATTTAGTTCAGTACTATAAAAACTTCCATTTTGATGATAATGGGGAACTTGCACCTGAATGTAAATTAACATATTACGTCTTTTTTTGTCACAGTACTGCTTTTAAAAAGTATCGGGTAAACTCAGTAGTGGACTTAGTGATGGTACTAATTCCTTATGTCCTCATGGACTGACTAGTAACAAAGAGTTTCAAGACCGGCAGCTGGTCTGTGGATCACATTTTGAGAAGCATTGAACTAGGCTTCAAGCAAACTTTGCATGGTTTTTGAATGGGAGGGAAAACAAGAAGGTATTTCACTTGGAGAAATAAGGAAATAGAATGGCTTCTTTTCCCTAATTTCATTCTTTTTTTAAAAAAAACTTTTGAGTACAGTTGACATACAACGTTACATTAGTTTCACTTGTACAACCTAGTGACTCAACAAGTTTATGTATCAGAATGGCTTCTTAATCGACAAGTTAGCAAAAAGCAAGATGGCATATAACCTTAAGAAAAGGAAAAATTACATAGATCTCATTGCCTCTCGGTTTAAACACTGTTTTATAAGAGACAACTGTGTGCACTGTTATTTAGTTTTTGCCAGATTATATATTTGAATTAGCCAAGCCAGGAAACAGACATAATTTTTGTCTAACTTAGAAAACTTCTGACTTATGTACCTTAGTATAACATTGAAAACTAAGCCAACAATAGTTAAAATAGATAGAATATAAATGAAGTATTTTTATTTTACCTTATGTAAGATATATTTTAAATATTGAGTGTATGAATTACCATTAAACAGTTCAAGAAAATGTTGGGATAAATAAAATTAAAAATGTACTGGATCAGAAACTAATTAATTAGGGTATATTTACTGGTAAGGTAATGTTTCTTATTTTATTTTAAATATGTCTTTGCCTAAAATAATGTATAACAAGTTAAAGTATTCTTAACAATAATTTATAAAACTCTGCTGCATTATTCTGTATGAAAAGTATGTTTACTCTGTTCGTTATTTCTTTGTTTTTCTGATGTAGCTTATAATACGAATATGAAAGTTGGCATGATAATTTCAAGTACAAAATCATTTATTTATTTATTTATTTTTAAAGATTTTATTTATTTATTTGACAGAGAGGGACACAGCGAGAGAGGGAACACAAGCAGGGGGAGTGTGAGAGGGAGAAGTAGGCTTCCCGCAGAGCAGGGAGCCCAATGTGGGCCTTGATCCCAGGACCCCGGGATCATGACCTGAGCCGAAGGTGGACGCTTAACCAACTGAGCCACCCAGGCGCCCCCAAAATCATTTTTTAAAAAACAAGGTCATATTTGATTAATATAGGTGTAAAAATGAAAACATTTCTCTACTGCTGTTGTAGTCATTGTATTTGGGAAATTAAATAGTTCTCAAACAAAACAAAAAGCTGTTTTACCACTAGATTGTCTAACTGAATCGGAATAGTATCACTAAGGTAAGAGAGTAGCATGAGCAAGCCAGAAAGCATAAGGAAGGATAGCAGGTAAATGATTATAAGTCACCTTTTTAATTCCTTTGCTATTTTATTTTTAGTTTTCTTAGGAGTTATGATACCTTAAGAAAATTTTGAAGTTATTTTTGCGTTGTTATTTTAATCAAAGCATGCTTATGGACGTTGGACTAAAAGCTTTATAATTATCAGTAAGCTGAATATTTTATCTGAATTTTATCTGCAAAATGAGTATAATATCCCTTAATCTGCAATGTTTTGACCAGTAGATCTAACTTACTTAAAACCTGACATGATTAATGGTAATTACTAGAAATTAATTTTTACCACTTTATTCTTTTTTTAAAATTTATTTTTGTTTTTTATTGTTTTATTCTTGGTAAAGATTTTATTTATTTATTTGACAGAGAGAGAGACACAGCTAGGGAGGGAACACAAGCAGGGGGAGTGGGAGAGGAGAAGCAGGCTTCCCGCTGAGCATGGAGCCCGATGCGGGGCTCGATCCCAGGACCATGGGATCATGACCTGAGCCGAAGGCAGATGCTTAGCGACTGAGCCACCCAGGCGCCCCTTGATGGTGATGTTCTTAAAAATAGATATTTTGATAAAGGGAATATGAAAATGAAAAATTTATATGGTGAATCAGAGATTGGATGGAATTAAATAGAACAGTAACTTCATAGAATTAGTATAATATTATTTAATCTTTACTGGACAGTTGACTAGCTTATTTTTGGTATTAACAAAATTACCTTCCATCTCTTTTTTTATTAAAATGGTGATTGTATTTAAGTAGCTTGAGTCCAAGTCACTGTGACTTTCCAGGTGTTTAGGAAGTAGTTACCGGACAGGCCCTGTGTTTTGGATGGGAGGATTCTGAGACTGCTGCTGCTTCTTACTCCTTATGCGTTTGAAAATGAAATTTTCTCCATCTGATGTTAAAATTTAAAATCCTCATGTATCCTCAGATCTTTTCTTTTTATATACTGCACTTTTAACATAGAAGGTCTTTCCAGCTTATATTTATTTTGAAATTAAGTACAGATAGCTGCAAAAAGACTGTATCTGAATGGTTTCCAACCAGAAAAAAATACTTGACAGCTATCATCTTTGTCCCCTACTTAATATTTCTGTTTTATTTTCTGTGAACTAAAGGTCTTGAAACACTTCTTTAACAAATGCTAATATCCCCTTTTAAGAAGGATGTGTGCCTTCAAGCAGTTTATTGACTATTTCTGGCTAAATAAAGAGAAAGAATGAGAAACCTAGAATTCTAAATTTTCTCATCAGGAGGTTTTCTTGAGGAGTGAGATACCATGATGGAGACAAGGCATAGTAGTTTGTATGAAGAAGAACAATTTGACTTTTACTTTCAGGTGAGAGTACTGTGGCACCAATAGCTCTGAAACTTGTAATATTAAGAACTGTCGGCTCAATTTTGCTTTAATGTCAGCATTTCAAAATAAGTTGGTTAAAATTTCTTGGAGGTGAAATAAAATTTACGGTGGTGGTTAATGAGTTCTGAGGGATTAAGGTTTCTCCAGCCTCTCACCATGCACCCCACACATGCTCCTTTTAAGATGTATGGTATTTAAAAAATAATAACTCAGTTCAGTGTTATTTTCTAGTAAATTCGGTTAAAAATATAATTTAAAAAAAATATCCCCAGTATTTTGCATGTTATATCTCGTCTTTACTCTTTGTCATGTGGTTATTCTTTCTTGATGAAGTCATTAGAGGACAACTGTGAAACCATCAAAAATTCTATGATGGAGGAGCCAAACATCAATAAGGTACAAAATATCATTCAACTGAAATTAGAAATTGCATTCTTTAACAAGAAAAACAGATTGTTTGTGTTTTAGTTTTGAACTGGACTTTGTTTCCAAAGCAATTAAATTATTGTTCCCTCAAATTGCTTGGTTTCAACAACTTAAATATGCAATCATAAAAATGGTTTATGTTTTGTTAATAAGAGAATGCAGTTTTAAAGGGAGTTGAATGTAACCTGTTTTGGCTACAGATTTTTCTGAGTAAATACAACTGAAGTTCTTAATAAAATGTAATTACAGTAGCCCTTATAGAATTATAGTGGTATTGTTCTATTTTTGCAAGTGTTACTTTTGAAGTTAACATTTTCTCCTGTGATGTTAATTCCTTAAAATATATCAAATGCTGTTATGTAACATTGTACTTATGTTACATAACATGTACATAATATGTGCATGTTACAACATGTACACCTGTACAAGTACATGTTATGTAATTATTTTTCTGGTAGGAATAGCATATAGCAAATTGCCTTGTGTGTAGCAATTTCTCATAACACTTGAGATGCAGAGCAAAAATTGTAGGGATTTGTATAATCATGAAATACCTCCTAAATGTTCTATGATCATATATTCAATTAGCAATAATCGCGCCTCAGATAAACCTCATTGGCTACGATACTGCCACTGCGCAAAGCTATGATCATATATTCAAATATGATTTTTATTAAGTTGATATTTAACTCATCTGTTTCTTACTCTGATTTTAAGTCCCTCTCAACAAAGTAATTTTTAGGGGAAAAATTTCTCGGAAGATATTTTTTTAAGGCTACTAATTCCCACTGTTAATTCTTTCTCAAAGAAAATCTTTTGGTAAAAATAGGAAAAATAATTCTGTACAATTAATAAAAGAGAGTGATTAGCTGTCACGTGTGTATTATCACTCAAACTTTGGCAAAATACATTTATGCAGTTCACACTTTGGAAGTGTCTACTGGCCTTTGGGAATTTTGAAAGAATATAGTTGAAACTTTTTATCAGTTAACAGTAAGTCCTTGCCTAAGTTAATTACGAGTCTGTACATTATCATGAATTCTCATCCAAAGATTTTTCTTTTTTTATAAGATGTTAATAATCAGAATGTGGTATTTCTGTAGTAATCACAGTACTTTAAAAGATAGTCATTCTGTTTGGTGAGTTAACATCATAACTATTTTTGGCCAGAATTTTCCAAGTGTCTGCTACAATTTGTTTTAAACAGGTTTATTAGGTATACCTGAGTTAAAACAACTGCACATATTTATTTAAATATAGTTTGACTGATCTTGGCATATGTATACACTGGTTAAGCCATCACCACACTTGAAAAAATGAATATACATATATATATAATACATATATATAATCTCCCTCTTCCTCCTTTCCTCCCACCTCTGCCCTCTTGCTCTACAGGCAGCTATCAGTCTACTTCCTCGTGTTATAGATTAGTTTGCATTTTCTAGTATTTTATGTAAATGGAATCATATAATATGTCCATTTTTTTTCCTCTAGCATAATTATTTTGAGATTCCTCCATATTGGGTATTTCAGTAGTTCATTGCTTTTTATCGCTGAGGTGTATTCATTGTATCACTGTACCGTAATTTGTTTATTTTTGTACCTGTTGGTGAACACTTGAGCTCTTCCCATTTCAGAACTATTTCAAATAAGAATGCTCAGAATAGTCATACACAAGTCTCTTTGTATAGGTATGGCTTTCATTTGTCTTGTGCAAATGCTTAGGAGTGGAAGGGCCAGATTACATTGTAGGTGTGTGGTTAACTTTTTAAGAAACTGCTCAAGTATTTTCCAAGGTGGTGGTACCATTTTACACCCCCAGCAGCAATGCATGAAATCTCAGTTGCTTTACCTTCTCACCAATAACTGGCATGTTCAACCTTTTTATTTTAGCCATTCTGGTAGGTGTGTAGTGGTTTTAATTTGCATTGAGCATCTTCTCATGTGCTTGTTTATCATTCGTATAACTTTTTGATTGAAGTCTTCAAATGTGTCTTTCTTTGGGTTGTTTTCTTAATAGAGTTTTAACAGTTCTTTATAAGTTAAGTCAGCTGATTGGCTATTGGCTGTTCTCCTACTCTATTGCATGTCTTTTTATTTACTTTACAATTTGTTTTAAACTGAGTTGTTTTTTTAACGACTTTTTTTATTTATTTGACAGACAGAGACACAGCAAGAGAGGGAACACAAGCAGGGGGAGTGGGAGAGGGAGAAACAGGCTTCCCGCTGAGCAGGGATCCCGATGTGGGGCTTGATTCCCATGACCTTGAGCCGAAGGTAGACGCTTAACGTCTGAGCCACCAGACGCCCTAAACGGAGAAGTTTTTAATGGACACATTGGACCTCATCAAAATTTGTTCTGTGTATGGACATCCTTTTTGGTGTCATATCTAAGAAATCTTTCCCTAACTTGAAAGTCACAAAGATTTTCTCCTGCTTTGCTCTCATTTTAATTTTACAATTGGTGAAGATTACTTCCATCACTGCAACTTTCCAGTGAAAAAGAAATCTGGGGCGCCTGGGTGGCTCAGTCGCTAAGCGTCTGCCTTTGGCTCAGGTCATGATCCCAGGGTCCTGGGATCGAGCCCCGCATCGGGCTCCCTGCTCGCCAGGAAGCCTGCTTCTCCTTCTGCCACTCCCCTGCTTGTGTTCCTGTTCTCGCTGTCTCTCTCTCTGTCAAATAAATAAATAAAATCCTTAAAAAAGAAAAAGAAATCTAAAGCTCTGCCCTACAAAGAAATCACAACACAAAGGCATTGTTTAAATCCTACAAAAAAAATTTTGGAGTCATTTTTTTATATGGCACAAAGTAAGGATTGCAGTTATTTTTTTTAATCTGTGTATCAGTTATTCACCACTCTTTTCTGAAAAGATTATCTTTTCCTCCACTAAATTGCCTTTTCCTCCTTTTAAAAAACGAATTGACATATATGTGTCATGGATTCTGTTTTGGACCATTGATTTATTTATCTTTATACTAATCTCCCACTGTCTTACTGCACTGACTAGAATTTCCAGTCCAATATTGAATAGAAGTGGTAAAAGCAGACATTTTTATTTTGTTCCTGTTCATTAAGTATGCTGTTATCTATAGGGTTGTTTTAGATATCCTTTATAAGGTTGAGGAAGATTTTCTGTTCCTAGCTTGTTGAGAATTTTTAATCAGTAATAGATGTTGGATTTTGTCACGTGTTTTTGTTTTTTGTTTTTTGGGTTTTTTTTTTTTTTTTGCTACTATTGAGATGTTCATATGGTTCTTATTTTAGTCTGTTAATACAGCTAAATAATTTGGTTGATGAGTTAGTTTATGTTTAACTAACCTTTCATTCTCTGATTAAGCTTGATTTGTTAGTGATGTGTTTATCTTTTTTATGTATTGGTAGATCTGTTAAAAATTTTGTTAAGAGTTTTTGCATTTATGTTAATGAGGAATATTGGTTAATGGTTTTCTTAATGTTTTGGGGTTCTTTTTTGGTTTCAAACTGAAGCTGGACTCAGAAGATGAGTTGGGAAATATTCTCTTTAATTTTCTAGAAAAATTTGTGTAGAATTAGTATTATTTCTTAAGTGTTTGGTGGAATTCATGAGAGAAATCATCTGGGCTTTTTTATCTACAGATTCAGTTTCTTCAACAGATATAGGGCAAGTCAGGGTATTTATTTCTTCTTGAGTGAACATTAGTAGTCCATGTCTTTAAATAAATTTATCTGTCTGGGGCACCTGGGTGGCTCAGTTGGTTAAGTGTCCAACTCTTGATTTCGGCTCAGGTCATGATCTCAGGGTCCTGAGATCAAGCCCTGCATCAGCCTCTGCGCTGGGCATAGATCCTGCTTGGGATTCTCTCTCCCTCTGCCCCTCCCCCCTCTGTCCCTCTCTAAAATAAATAATAAGTAAAATTTAAAAAACAAATTTATCTGCTTCAAGTGTCAGATTTATAGGTGTAAAGTTATTCATAGTATTCCCCTATTTTTTTAATACACAGTGAAATCTCTGGGGATGTCACCTTTCATTTTTCTGCAGTTTTGAAAACAATTACTTCTTGAATATTTTTATTTCCTAATATTTTGAGTATTGGTGTCCTTTTATGTTCACTTGCAAGCTTCCCATTTCCTTGCAATATGCCTTTGATATTCTTTAGATCTCCTTTTACTTTGTTTTGTTTTATTATATCATTAGAGTAGTGCTGAAGTAATCCAGATGCTCACCTTCACGTTGTAGAAGGTGATAGTAACTGAAAATCACCAATGAGACCTGGAGTCTCAGGTCAGCTTTTCTGTAGATCTGTTGTGGGACCTTGAGCTCTTTACACCCTTGAAGGCTTCTTTACTAATGTATAAAATTAGGGTTGATAGTTTTAAACATGCTGACTGCTCTGATTTAAACAGTAGTGAAGTCCTGGATTTAGTCTGTTGTGGTCCTCTCTTCCTCAGTTCTTCAAGTAAGCTCTGTGGAACCTGAACATTGTTTAGATCAGTTCCTGTATAAAATTTCTCTTTTTTTAAATGGTGGTAAAATATACAAATAAACTTTACCATTGTAATTGTTCCAAGCGTACAGTTGTGTGGCATTAAGTTCCTTTATATTGTTGTGTAGCCATCACCACCATCAATCTCCAGAGCTTTTTCATCTTCCCAAACTGAACCCTGTCCCCATTAGACAGTAGCTCTCCATTTTCTCCCCCTCACCTAACCTAGCCCGCCACCCACCATCCTGCTGTCTGTCTCTGTGAATTTTATTACCCTGGGTATCTGTATAAGTGGAATCATACAGTACCTGTCATTTTGTGACTGGCTTCTTTCACTTAGCGTACCATCTTGTATGTATGTAGTATGTGGTGTGTATCAGAATCTCCTTTGTTTTTAAGCTTAAACGGTATTCCATTGTGTATACATCACACATTCTGTGTAGCCATTCCTCTGTCAGTGAACATTTAGGTTGTTTCCATCTTTTGCCTGTTGTGAACAGTGCTGCTGTGAACATTGATGTACACATAACTGTTTAAGTCTCTGCTTTCAGTTCTTTTGGATATACACCCAATCTATGGTAATTCTGTGTCTACTTTTTGATCTGCATAATCTCTTAAAATCTCTTTTAGCACTAATATTTGTATTCTTTTTTCCTCACATATCCAGCACAATCAAATTTTAAAGCATGGCCTGAAACCTTACATTAAGGTTTATATTAAACTTATATTAACCTTTACATTAAGACCATATTCGCTGTGGGGTTTTTTTTTACTATGATTTTATGTGGTATTGCCTTTAGCAAATTAAATTATATTCCTGGTACATGCAAGTCCTCTTTTTTTAGCTGACCACATCGTGTTTCCACTTCCTTCCTGGCCTACCTTAGATTTCATGATCCGTCATTATGATCAGTCCTTTACAAAAACCCTCAACCCTTTTGTGCTCTTCTCTCTCTGTTGTATTTGCCTTGAAAATTCCCAAACCTGTACATGCAGCTTTCTGTCTATTCTGTGCCATTGTAACCGAACCAACATGAGTTCCCTCCTCGGTGAGTCACAAATTCCAGGTTGAACTGTCACACAGAGAAAACTTTATTTGTAGCACATAAAGAGATCACAGGGAAAGGCTTCCAAAGCTTTGCATCCCCGAGCAAGGGTGAATGGGTTCCTTTTATTTAGGATTAGGATGCATATTTAGATGGAGAATCCTGGTCCTCCTGTGCAGAGGCAGCGAAGGTCACGCATATGCCTTAAGGAAACATGCCTATACACATGCTGTATGTTATGCAGTTAAGGCATGTCCTCCTCCTTGGGCGGAGGTCTAGTACCAAATGAGGTAAAGATAGTCATCCTCATTCTAGAGGTCACTCTCTGGTCCATCTGTGCAAGTAGAAGTCGGAAGTTGAGATCACACTGGTCTGGGTGGCCTGGGCCAGCTGGAGGTCTTGTCAGGGCAGGTGCTGTTGCTGGAAGGGTGGTTTTGCTTTCTCTTTGCTTGACTTAAGAGATAAGCTGGAAAGAAGAGCTCAAGGAAAAATTGGGACAGAGGTCGGGGAGAACAAGCAAGTGGGCCGTAAAGGTCAGGTCTGGGGGTCTAGTTGGTGACATATTCACCCGAATAGCTGAACATGGATGAAGAAAAAGCACAAACCATGGGGGCTTGCCTTGAAATTTATAGCCACAAATCCCAAATTAAACTACCTGACCATCAAAATAAATGACTCTGTAGTAAATTTGTTTTCTTGTTCTCTTTTCCATTCTCCCCACTTCTGCCCTCTTTCCTCAAACTTTCAATATTCCTTTGCTATTTCCCACTGGTGTCCTTGTTTTGCCAGCAAAGTAAGTGTAGGGGATTTAGACTAATCTTCTTACCACCAAATCTAACTTCTGCTCTATATGCAGATATTTTGTTCTGCCTTTTCTAATACTAGATAGGCTGTCACTTTTTGTCCAAGACCAGATCTTCCATTTGTACATTGATCCTCTCTCCGTTTTATCTACCCAAGGACTTTGCTTCAGTAGTTATCTTCCCTCCCTCTTCCATGAGAAATATTTATCTTTCCCTTCAATTATTCGCAGCATAAGCAAATATATTTTATTGTCTTACTTTCAAATGAAAACCAAAAAACCTACCTTTGAATCTTTCTACTCCCCTATTTCTGTAATCCCCTATCTAGGAAAATTCATTTATAGAATTGCCTATAAAATCATCAGAGAAGACTTAAAGAGTAATGTTGCAGACACCCTGTGGAGGAACCACCCAGTTAAAGAAATAAAACATTATCAATTCAGTTGAATGCCCCTGTGAATCTTCCCCAATGGACTTCCCTCCCTATTCACCGATGTCACATGCCTCTCTGATTTAGTTAAGTGTTATCTCCAGCCCACTCCACTGAGATTTTACTAGTCAAAGTCACTCACCCTTGACTTCCAGGTTGCTAAATTCAGTATTCAGTTCTGTCTTTCTTTACTTCAGTTGTTCAGTACCCTTTGATACTGTTCAGCCACCTTCCTGAAACTTGCTTTACTTGGTTTCTGTAACATCATATTTGATAATTAAGTATTCATAGTTGGAGAATGTTTCCTCTTCTGTCAATTTATTCTGTCAGCATTTCTTTCCCCAAACTACTTCTATCTTGAATTGGCTTATCTTTTTCCTCTCTTAGAAACGTTGGGTGTCTCAGGACTTAGTTCTCTAACCTTTTCTCTTCCTTGTCTTTACTTTCTCTTTGGGCTCTCTGATGGTTTAAATATCACCCATAGCTAGCTCTTAAATGGTAACTCTTAAATCAATTCTTTCTGGCCCATTCATTTCCTGAACTCTGGACTTGCCTTATTAATCTAATAGCTATCTCACCCTGAATGTCTAAACAGAATTTTCTTTCTTCTCCTAGTCTTAATCCAAATCCCCACTTTTTCTTCACTTTTGTCTCATTAAATGGTACCTTCACTCACCCGCTTACCATGATGGTCTGAAATCTAGGAGCTATCCTTGCTTTTTCTCTTTTGCTCCTACTGTAATTTCAGTCCATTAGCAAAATTTATCCTAATCCCAACCACTCATTACTACCACCATTGCTACTACCCTAATCAAATCCCCCTTTACCTCTCACCCCAGCTGCTGAAGTAGCCTCTTAACTGATCTGGCAGCCATTCTCACACCCTGTATACTTTGCCTCACAACACGCAGGATTATCTAAACCCTTGCAGCGGCTTCCTAGCTTTAAAATAAAATCTGAACTCTTTATTAAGGCTTTTAAGGCCCTCTGCACACTGAATCCTGCCTGGTCTCCAAGCTCATTTCCTACCACTTGCCATTCATCTCAAAATTAAATATGCATAAGCTTTTGAGATGCTAAACACCATGCTTTCCCCCTCCCTCCAGCTGATTCTTTTTTTTTTTTTTAAAGATTTTATTTATTTATTTGAGAGAGAGAGAATGAGAGACAGAGAGCATGAGAGGGAGGAGGGTCAGAGGGAGAAGCAGACTCCCTGCTGAGCAGGGAGCCCGATGCAGGACTCGATCCTGGGACTCCAGGATCATGACCTGAGCCGAAGGCAGTCGCTTAACCAACTGAGCCACCCAGGCGCCCCCTCCAGGTGATTCTTATGCAGGTGATCTTTGGGCCACAGTATTAAGAACTAATGTTTTTTTAAATCTAGGTAATGAGAGGACAGGAATGTATTTTCACATTGAAGAAGCTTTTTTTTTTTTTTTTTAAGATTTTATTTATTTGAGAGAGAGAGGGAGAGTGACGGAGATAGCGCGAGAGAGCACGAGTGGGCGGGAGTGGGAGAAGCAAACTCCTGCCGAGCAGGGAGCCTGACCTGGGGCTCCATCCCAGGACCCTGGGATCATGACCTGAGCCGAAGGCAGATGCTTAACAGACTGAGCCACCCAGGCGTTCCTGAAGAAGCTTTTTGAAGTTTATGCCTATTGGAGTTTTTTCTCCGTAAATTTAAAGTTTGAAAAAGCTCTGCAGGTAAAATGAATATATTTCCCCCCCACCTACCCATTACCAGCAAATAACATACTCCTCAGTCGCCTGCAAATATCATTTGTCTTTCTTTTCCATTTCTTTAAAATCCAATAGTGGACAGTTAGTGTGCTTTAGATACCAGGCAGATATGTGACTAAGTTGAGATTTTGTCATAAAATTACAGAATTTAACTTATACATTATATACATTTGATGGACCTCTTGTAGCCAGAGGTAAGATTATCCTTAGAAAAGAAGTTGACTTTGAAATCAACCACAGTGTTTGGCAAGCACTGAAATTCTTTTATGTTATCAGATGGTATTTTAGATTAGAATATATTTGACATCTTTATATCCAGTGACCATGAGTTTTGTTTGCATAGGATTTGCAGGGTTTGGTTATCTTACAAGTCTCAACTTGCCATTCAACAGGCTTCTTATTTGCCATTTTTAAAAATAGTGCTAACTCACTTCTCTTGGTCAAACAATGGACAGGCATTGGTGATGTTTTTATCTAAACTTTGCAGGAATTATATTTGTTATATTCTTTTTTTTTAAAGATTCTATTTTTAAGTAATCTCTATACCCAATGTGGGGCTCAAACTTCCAACCCTGAGGTCAAGAGCTGCATGCTCTCCTGACTTAGCTAGCCAGACGCCTCAAGTTTGTTCTAATTTTTTTTTTTAAAGATTTTATTTATTTGACAGAGAGAGACAACAGCGAGAAAGGGAACACAGCAGGGGGAGTGGGAGAGGGAGAAGCAGGCTTCCCACTGCGCAGGGAGCCTGATGCGGGGCTCAGTCCCAGGACACTGGGATCATGACCTGAGCTGAAGGCAGACGCTTAACGACTGAGCCACCCAGGCACCCCTGTTCTAATTTTTTGTCAAATTAATAACTTCTGTACTTCAAAATGAGTTGTGAACTATTTTATACTAATTCATTTTAAAGATTGAAGGTTAGGTGGTAAAATAAGATAAAACAGTATCCTACATTGACATTTCTAACTCTTAATAATTGCCTTGTCCTTTTACTTGTTTATTTCAGTAAATGTTGATTTTATACAATATTATCTTCTGCGTTCAAAGGCCTTGTATATACCTTCTCTGGGATAAGCAGAAGGTTGATATAGTTCCCTCATCTAAAGAATACTGAGTTATGGTCTGTTCATCTATTAAAATGACTTACTGACCTGGGCAAATTACTATGCCTTTCAGGGCTTCAGGTTGTTTTTTTTTTATAAATTAAAAGTTGTTTTAGGCTAGGAGCCCATAAACTATGTTCAGCTGGCCATATTTGACCTGTTCTTCTATAGGTAGTAAACTAAGAATGGTCCTTATATTTTTAAAAGGTTGTTTAAAAAAAAAGATTAATATGCAACAGTGATCCTCTTTGGTGTGCAAAACCTAAAAATATTTGTCTTTTTAACCTTCTAATATTTATAAAATATTATCCAATGATTATAATGCTAAGAAATAGGGCAAACAAATCTTTTTTTAATAATTAGAATGTCTTGATCTTTTAAAGTTAATTCATTTGTGTTAATTTATTGGGAACATACGCAATTAATGAAGTTGTATCTTGAATCAACTGTCTTTTTACATATGGGAAGGCACGCTGGAAACAATTTAAATTTCCCGGGTCAAATAAGTTTTGTTTTAGGGATAATTAGCATGTAAAATAGTACCTTTGCTAGGAAATGTCTAAGAAGTTTCTTAAAATAATTAATGCAAGTATTAAATGACAGATTGGCATATACTGTTTTTTTCTATGACTAAAATCACTATGTTTTTTTGTTTTCTTTCCTTCCATTTAGATAGAAGCAGACTTGGGATATCCTGGAGGTAAAGCAAGGATTATTCACAAAGAATCTGACATCATTACTGCCTTTGCTGTTAATAAAGTAAGTGCGTGGACTTTTTATTCTTTGATTATTAAGTATTCATTGTTGAAGAATGTCTCCTGTTTTGTCAGTTTATTCAGTATTAGTATTTCTCTTTCCCAAAGCTAATTCCCACTGCCTAAATTGCAATCTGAGTAAGTTACTTTATTTTATAAAATGATTATATTGTTTGATAATTAAATTTATTGGGTATGTAGCAGATAAAATAATGTTTTATTACTACACAGAGAAATATCAAAGTAACATATTATAGCATTTAATTCAAAAAAAGGTTTTTTATTTTCCTTATGTGAGTATGTTGAATGTGATTATTAATATTAGATCAAATTCAAGCTTTTATATGACTTACAGAAATTCTCACTCATTAACTTACAGCTACAGTAGCTGCCTAGTTTTTCCTTTACATTCCTTAGTCTTCCACTCAACATGTTCCTTAAAGCTCTCTGTGAGCTCCTTAAAGAAGGGGTAGCCTTAGCTGTGCAGTCTTCCCTAAATGCCCTGCTGCAGTTTTATTTGCACACACACACACACACACACATACATATGTACACTTAAGTATGTATATCTCCTTTTTCACATATTCCTAATTTTAAAATAATTTTAAAATATTATTTAGATAAATACCCTATGGCATTATGCATTCAGTAATCAATGCACCAGTTGGTTCTCCATCTTCCTATGATACGTCTTTCTTTGATTTCTCCTAGATAGTTCCTTTATCCTTCTGTCCTCATCTTTCCCTTTGTCCTTTGTCTCATTTCCCTCTTCTACACACCCCTGAACAGTGACTACTTCTGTTGAAGACAGGCAGGTTTGGAATCAGCCCTTTAACCAGACAGTTCTCCTGTTGTAATATCTGTGCAATATGGTATATACGTGTCAGATACAAATATAAAATTATTGTCTACACCCAACAAGTATCTTCCTTCCCTTGAAAAAAAATATGATTTTAAATATTCTGTGCTATAAAACAAACTTGTTTCTTTTTCTTTTCTTTTTTGGATATATATATATATATATATATATATATATATATATATAAGTAACTAGTAATGAACAGTCATCCACATATATAAAATCCGTTGTTCACCATGCAGGAAGAGTGTACCTGTTTAATTTTTATTTCTCCAGATTGATTATTGTTTTACATCCTTGCTAAATTTGTATATGAGAAATAATACCTTTTGCTTTAAATTGCATTATTTTAAAATGCTGATGAGATTGAACTTTTTCCCATTTGTTTAGTTGTGAATTATCTGTGTTAAGAACTGTGAAAGGCCTGAGATTTTTCTCTGCATTCAAGCAAACAAGTTATCTTTCTCAGTTTAATGGATGCTGTAAGAAGACACAGACTCCTGGACCAGAGGCAAAAGACAGTTTATTACTAATAGCAGAAGCAGTATCCAGAATATCAGCATTTATGCTCTGGTTTCCTCTGTTAACATTACCACAGAGTGGCAGGGAGGGGGCCAAATGATAACTGCACACAGAGTAGGTTGCATTATAGGAAAGGAACACTGAGTTTAGGGAACCTAAATCTTTTCTAATGGACATTAAGTGTACCTGCCCTTTGATCTGGAGGGAGACACCATAGGTATACAGCCATTCTGCAGAACAGACAGCAGTCATAGTATGTCACTCACTGGACATTCACAAACAGAGAGACCTGTGGAGAATTATCTCTGAGCAGTCTCATTATATCCTTTTTCCACTTATGTCTGGGGTATTCATTTTTTTGTTTCAGTTCGTATTAGCATTTTACATAATGGAAATGTTAATCCTATTTTCTCTTTGCTGTCATTTTATTTTCTCTTTTAGAGATGTACATTTTCAGTTCATAGATGTTTAAAATTTTATGTCATTTAATCTGACCAGTTCTTTTTGTTAAAGATTTATTTATTTTAAAGAGGGGTAGAGAAAGAGAGCGTGGGGGTGGAGGAGAGGGCAGAGGGAAAGAGAGAGAAAAACTGTTTTTTTAAAGACTTTATTTAAGAGAGAGAGAGAACAAGAGAGAGCACAAAGCAGGGTGAAGGGCAGAGGGAGAAGCAGACTCCCCACTAAGCAGGGAGCCCAAGGCAGGACTTGATCCCAGGACTCTGGGATCATGATCTGAGCCAAAGGCAGACACTTAACCAACTGAGCCACCTAGGCGACCGAGAGAGAGAAACTTTAGCACACTCTGCACTGAGCCTTGATCTCACGACCCAGAGATCACAACCTGAGCTGAAACCAAGAGTCACTTAACCGACTTTATCACTCAGGTGCCCCTAATATAACCAACTTTTAATTTATGATTATTCTTTTTTTTTAAGTTTTTTTTTATTATTTATGATTATTCTGACATACTTTACCCACTCTTTTTCTACCCCCATACCTTTCCTTTGTGACCATTTCCCAAATTTTTTCTTGTTTAAGACTGAAAAGCTTTACATGAAAGTGATACTTATCCTATTTGAATAATGCACTGTTATTTCTTTAGTTTGATGTTCCTTATCTCCCTCACCTTTTTCTACCTTCTAGAGCTTCTATCCAACCCCTCCCTCCACATTTCGGAACTGTGCAAACGTCAGGGAGATTGTACCATACTAGCAGACTGGAGAGAGAGTGCTGGGAGAAGAAATAAAGTGGTACATGCATTACCGTTTAGAGGAGCCTTCTGTTAGATGCTCTTGAATTCTTAGAACATAAACATATCTCCAAGATCAAGCTGATAATTATTACACTCAGGATTTAATTAGTAAAATTAATTTTAAATATGAAAATGCTGTCTTTTCTGTATGTTAAAGTTTCTAGGGGCTATTTTGTAGTTTCCATTTTTAGAAGTAGTTCATATACTTGTGCTTTTTTTAAAAAAATTATGATGTGATTTATTTTTCAGGCAAATAGAAACTGCATAGCAATTGCTTCAAGCCATGATGTTCAAGAACTGGATGTTTCTGGAATTCTGGCTACACAGATCTATACTTGGGTAGATGATGATGCTGAAATGGAAACCAAAGGGTACTTTTATACTTTGTTTTTAATTCAGTAACATTGTGTTAAAATGATGATATCACAGAACTATAGCTTTCAAAAGATTTTTAGAGGAATATTCCTAGATTGTAAGTATAGTGGATGCTGATATGATAAAGAGTGAAAAAGGGGTGGCAGGAGCTTTAAAAAAAGGAATTGAGGGTTAGAAGAGATTAAAGTGAGAAATAAAAAAAAAAGAAAAAGAAAAACAAAACAAAACACTAATTGGAAAAGATATATGCACCACTATGTTTACTGCAACATTATTTGCATTAGCTAAGATATGGAAGCAAACTAAGTGTCCACTGACAGATGAATAGATAAGGAAAACACACACACACACACACACACACACAGGAACATTACACAGCCATAAGGAAGGATGAGATAATGCTATTTGCAACAACATGGATGGACCTAAAGGGAATTATGTTGTTAAATAAGTCAGAATGAGAAAGAAAAATGCCATATGGTTTTACTCATATGTGGAATCTAAATACACAATAAAGAAACAAAGAAACAAAAAAAGTGAGAGATTCTGCAGTTGTTCACATATGAAGTTACTGTCTACGAGTTAGGAGTTAAGAGCTGAAGAAAATTTTAGAGGGAAATACAAAGGCATATATTAGAGCTTTCACGTAAAGAAGAAGAAATGAAGAACTGATGGGTTGCTTTCATTCCAGCTGACGTTCTTTTGTAGATCAGAAGATTTCTTGGTTATACATGCTCGTGATGATTTAACAGCTGTGCAGGGTACAACCCCGTATACGCACAGCAACCCCGGCACTCCAATCAACATGCCGTGGCTCGGCAGTACACAGACTGGCAGAGGAGCATCTGTGGTATGTAGAGTGCAGCACGCTGTGCACAGGGGTGCCTGGGTGGCTCAGTCAGCTGAGCGTCCGACTCTCGATTCCAGCTCAGGCCTTGATCTCAGGGTCCTGAGTTCAGGTCCTGCACTGGGTTCCATGCTGGGCATGGAGCCTACTTACTTAAACACACACACACACACACAAAGTAAAAATATTGTGTTTAAATGTCTTTTTTTCCCCTCTAGTTTAATAAAGGATGATTTAAACATTTTTTAAAAATTCTTAACTTTTTATTAAGTCAGACTTGCTGGAAATTATAAATTTAGATTGTGAAGAATAATATGTTTTCATATGAAAAAAATATGACATTTTAAATAATTTAAAATACGTTATTTGCAACCTGCTGTTACAAATCAGGCATCAGCAAGCTATGGTCTGTGGGTCAAACTATTTTTGTATAAACGTGCTTGAGAATAGTGTTTACATTTTTCAGTGGTAGAAAAAAAAAGTCGAATGGTATTTTGTGACACATGAAAATTATATCAAATTCAGATTTCATTATCTATAAGTAAGTTTTATTGGAACATAGCCACAGTCATTTGTTTATATTTTGTCTGAGGATCTTCTTGAGCCCTGATTAAGATGTGATCCATGTTTATCCCTCAATGAGATTCTTTTATTAATACTTAATGATACATGGAGTCAGAGAAACCCAGGACCAGTAATTCTTTCTGGCTTTCTGGTGGTGTGGTTATTTTCTTTAAAAACTTACTGATATTATCATCTTTTAAAGGGAAACTTAAAGAGAATATACAAAATATATAAAAAGAAATGATAGGCAGTTTTTCCAACTCCAGTTTCGGAGAATACAATGCCCTTCTTCCTGTCACAGATTTCTTGCTGGTCTCTGCTTCCACACTTGCTCCCTGTGTTCTGGATACAGCGGCCAGAGTTGCTCTTTTTTAGAGCATCATTGAGGTTGTCACTCCATTGTTTAAGACTTTCGGATTTCCCAGTACAACTTTAAAAAAACAAGTCCTTCAGGTGGCCTCTCCAGTCTACTGTGATTTAACCCCTGGCAACCTCTGCAGCCTCATCTCTCTTCATTCTGTACTTGATTCGCTTTGCTTTAATTACAGTGGCCCTCTTTCTGTCTCTCAAAAACATCAAGCTCCATTGCCCTGTCAGAGCCTTTGCCTTGCTTTCTGCTTCAGACGTTCTTCTTTTACCATTCAGATCTCAACTCAGGTTCCCAGGGATTTCCCTTGCTTCTCTAGTGAAGGCATCTGTCCCTCCCTACTCTATCCGTAGTCAGTCTATATGTCATATTATCGCCCATTTTATCATCTTTAATGGCCTGTATCAGTTTGTCTTTTTTATTTTTTTTTAAAGATTTTATTTATTTATTTGAGAGAGAGGATGAGAAGAGAGAGAGAGCACATGAGAGGGGGGAGGGTCAGAGGGAGAAGCCGACTCCCTGCTGAGCAGGGAGCCTGATGGCGGGACTCCATCCCGGGACTCCAGGATCATGACCTAAGCCGAAGGCAGTCGCTTAACCAACTGAGCCACCCAGGCGCCCAGTTTTGTCTTTTTTAATGTACTCTGTAATGTAAACTCTGTGAGAGATTGTTATGCCTGCCTTAGACACTGATGATCTCTAACTAGAATGGCGTTTGGCATATAGTCAGTGCTCAAAAAATACTTGTTTTTACTACAAAGCATTATAATACAGAAATATACCTTTGTCATTCTTGTTAGGATGGAATTTTCTTTCTATCTACATCTTAGAAGGACCGCTTTTTTTTTTTTTAAGATTTTATTTATTTATTTGACAGAGACACAGCGAGAGAGGGAACACAAGCAGGGGGAGTGGGAGAGGGAGAAGCAGGCTTCCCGCAGAGCAGGGAGCCCAATGCGGGGCTCGATCCCAGCACCCTGGGATCATGACCTGAGCCGAAGGCAGACGCTTAACGATGGAGCCACCCAGGCGCCCCAGAAGGACCTCTTTTTAGAGGGGATCATTGTGATTTGTTAGCATAATTAATCTAATTGGTCCCACTCCGTCCTCAAGAAAAAGACACCAGTATAATCAGGTGATTCTTTTTTATAAGGATCTTCTAAAGTAAGTTATGATTTCTTTCCTTTATAATGTTCTGCATATGCTCTTAGAAATTTTATTAAACCTGTGTTTATGTATTTTTTTGTTAATGGTTTTACTTTGATACTTTAGTCAGAAAGAAAAGTAAAAGAATAGGAATATTAAGCATTTCTTTAATTAAAAAGGAACGTAAGATTTCAACAAGTTTGCTAAACGTAACATTCAGCAAGTTTTCTTTTTTTTTTGTGGAGAATTAATGAAATATTTTCTTAATTCTGTTGCTTCATTGACTTACTAATTCTAACAAAAAAGAATACTTCTTATGACCAACTTCTGTTTTGCAGTATAATTACAACCATAACCATCTTTCATTGTTTCTGTCCTTCACCGCTTCTGCTAGCCTGCTCTCTTCCTCCCTACCCAATCCCCACTTAACTCACAACTTTAGTCTAATGGACAATTTAAAATCCGCAAGAACAACAACAACAACAAATCTACTCAGGATTGATGCTACAAACTTAGGATAACATATAATTGTAGTTATGGTGCTGTATAAATAGGAATTGTTCTATTAATTAAAATTCTCTTTAATTTCACATATTCTTATTTGACAGGCTACTTAAATCATTGAAAATATGATTTAAAAATGGATGTATAAACAGTTCCACACTACCAATTAAAAATTTATACAATTTTCTGTTTACCTCTTTTTTTTTTTTTTTTTTTTCACATGCTTCTGCCTGTCTTTTTAACCTTATACTATTCAGGATTATTCCAATAAAATTAATGGGATCAGAAAAGAATTGGCAAGAAAGGAGGTAAGACTAAATTCTCAAGGTGAATTTGTTCTTAGAGCCTAGTCAGTGATGCAGAAAATGTATGTGCACTTAAACATAAGAGAGCTGAGCTATTAAATTTAATTTCTGTTACTACGTTTAGTATTTTTAGCACCCACAATGGTAGTTAGGAATCACATAAAAGTAAATAAATAAATGTTATTTGAATTTTCTGTCACATTTTGTATTTTTAATACTACTTTTTGTAACTATAGACGAATGATTTTTCTTTGTTAACAGATGATTAAGAAAGCTATTAATAATGTCAGAAGAATGACTTCTCATCCAACTCTTCCTTACTGTAAGTTGATAATAATTAGCCAGTGTTCTAAGGAATTTAAAGCAGGTTTTTAGTTTCACTTGAAAGGTAGTCAACTATTTTACTTTTTTTTGTAGAGAATGTCTGCTAGCAAATAAAATCTTCATTTCAAATTTGGATAACAATAGAAAAAGAAATTTTCCTGAATTAATAGAGAAGGCTAACTTGATGCAGTAACTCTTCACTATGTTAACTGCCTATTTCTAAGTTAGAACATTTTATTTTTTAACATTTTTGGACTCTTTACACAATTATAAGTTACAGTCATAATTAATTGTTTTAATAATTGGATCACTCCCGTCTTTTATTACATAGATCAGAACCCTATCTTGGTCATTTATTGCCTCATCATAGTCCCTTTGTATTTTATTAATATTTTGTCGGTTTGCCTTTTATCAGACACACTAATGGTTAATATTCCTGGGAATCTCAAAAGTTCTTCTCCTTTAACAAGGAACTTAACTAATGGGGAATTTATTTGGATGTATTGAAGCAGAGAAAAAATAAAAAAGACAACTTTAAATATACTTTTGGGTTGGAATCAGTATTCATATTGGCATCTCAGTATTCAGGTTTTTTTAATATGATTTTTAAGTTGTGCCTGTCATCAAGTTGTCCTACCACACAGTAATAAGCGCAGTACCTGTTAATTAAAAAATATTCATGTTCCTTCAATTTCATAACATATAAAAAACTTATACTACTTTTATAATGAGAGATAATCTGATAAAATACATTTGACAAAACCAGTGTTCTTTTCTACTTCACTGTCCTAAGTACTACAAGCAGCTATCATCAAAATTGCGTACCAGTGTCCAAGAGAAGGGTTCAAGAGAACCATATATTTAAAATGAAGAGAGAGTAATTTCCATTCCTTACACTAAAGGTGTGAAATAATGTAAAAATTAATGTAAAAATTTATCAATGTTTTTACTACATTGAATTCCATATTACTACTGATAATTATACTTAACATAAATTGAGTCATCCGTGTTAAGCATATTTCTAAATGATTTATATGGATTATCTCGTTTACTTCTCATAGCTGTCCATTAACTTACATATCATTATTCCCCTTTTACAGGACAATTTGAAATGGGCTCGGAGATTAATTAAGATGCCTAGTATCACAAAATCAGTAAATGGCAAAGTGATGAATTAATAATTATTCAGCTTGTTCACATTCCTCAGTGAAACATACAACACATTTGAGCTATCCAGTCGATCAGAATAACTATTAGAAGTGATTTTTTTCTTTACCATGCATGACATTCAAGACTTTCTACAGTCTTTTTTTTTTCCAGAGAAAATGTATAAGTTTAAACATAGTTTAAAGGCTGATAAGAATTGGCTCTTTAGTTCACCCAGGAATTTGTTTACTGGTTATTATATAACACTGAGATAATTTCAGAAGGAAATAAAATTTACGGAGGTCTGATTTAATTGCTTCTGTTGTGTAGTGGGAGGGTATATTCTTAGTCAAATGAAAGTACATCATAAAACTGTTTTTAAGATTAAAAACACTCAAACAAAATTTCATAAAGGTAAGTTCATGTAAATTGACTGTGATTCATTTCAAAAGTGTTTCTTTCATAAAGGTTTTCACTTGGATTCAAAAATAAACCTTCCAAAGACTACTGCAGTAAATTTGCCGTTTTTGCCCTTCATAATGCAGATCTGACAGGAGCTCAAGATGGAAGTGTCAGAATGTTTGAATGGGGCCATTCTCAACAAATAACCTGTTTTCGATCTGGTGGCAATTCAAGAGTTACGAGAATGAGATTTAACTACCAAGGAAATAAGGTAGTATATAAAAATATAAATGGGAATATGGTTTGATTATGTTGGAAGTTTATAAATGTAACTAGTCTGTGTTTCTGAAGAGAACAGCTCAGTGAGCTAAGGATAAAGTATTAATCTATCTGAAGTCTTTCTTATAAAAGTCTTTTCAAAGAACACTTACATTCATTTCATTCTTTCTCGAATGACATTTTGTGTATGCCTGGGTGTGTTGTGTGTGTATATGTGTATATATCCATTAAAATTCACTTAAATGATGTTAAGGACCAAATGATTATAGGACCACCATATATTACACATTTTTGATTAAATACTTCTACTTTCTTTGTTCTCTGGAACCTACTCAAAGTATGGTCAATTAGCAAGTAAAATCTGGGAGCTTATTAAAAACGCAGATTATTGTGCTCAGTTCTGCAGCACATATACTAAAATTGGGACGATACAGAGAAGATTAGCATGGCCCCTGCGCAAGGATGACACACAAATTTGTAAAGTGTTCCATATTTTAAAAAAAAATGCAGATTATTAACTCTCCTGCAGACCTGCTGAGTCACCATCTGCATTTTAACCAGATACTTTTGTGATTTGTACATTAAACATTCTGAGGACTGGTCTAGAACAGGGCATCAACAAATCATGGCCTACCTACATTTTATTTGTAAATAAAGTTTTACTAGAACACAGCTACCTCACTCATTATTTGTTTTCTTTAATTACCTTTCCACTACAACAGCAGAGTTCAAGAAAGCAAAGACTTTATAGACGGCAGGCCTAAAATATTTACTATATGACCCTTTAAGAAACAGTTTTTCAACCCTCCTCTAGAATATCCCTTACTGTCTTCACTTCCCATAGTCCTGTTTTCCTCAGACTGCCTCTCTGCCCCCCTAGTGTCTCACTGTCACTTTAAACAACAGGTACAGGGGAAATCAGCCTGCTCTTTTGTCTTCAGAGCTGTTTCACTAAAAAGACATGGCACCCTCACAGATGGTCCGTCTTGCCTTTCCTTTTCTCTCGACTTCCAAACCTTCAACTCTCCTCGTGTGTTGTTTGTATCTTGGTGTGCTGCAACCTTATTGCCTACCACATTTATCACTTAGCTGTGTTACCATTTCACTAAAGTTAATGGTAATTTTTCTCGTAGCTATGAAACAAACTTTTGAGAGCATATGGTTTCTATTAAGAATTGGCAACATTCTTTGCTCCAATTGGCAACATTCTTTGCTCCTTAAGGGAATAATTGAGGGGACTTAATCTAAAAGCTTTTAGAGTTCTACTGTAATTTCAGTTGTATAACATATACTTTAGTGCTCATGCTTTTCTACTTTGGTTGTCAATATTGCTCCTAAGCTAGGCTCTGTACCTCAACTCTTACCTTTCTAATGTATTCTTCATGTTGCCAACATAGTTATATAACAACAAATAATATAGTTGTATAACCACATTGTAAGGGAAGATCACATTATTGTTCTTTTCAAGAGCCCTTCAAGCCTCCTCATTGTATCTAGAAGCCCATATTTTTTGGCATGGCATTCAGTGCCTTCTGTAGTCTGAATTATTTTATAGACTTAACACTCATTACAGCCTTCCATATATACTATTTTAAGGCACAAAAAACTATTCTTCATTACCTGCCCAAGTATATTTAACAGGCAGTCAACTTACTGTCCATTCACCATAGGCATGATGGAGCCAAATAGCACAACACCTAAGCAAGCTATTTCCCTTAGTGTAGGGAAGCCTGCTATGGTAAATAGAACAGAGGACAGTAATGCTGGTCAGTTTGTCAATTATGAACAGAAACGGGCTGCCAACAGTTACTGAGCCTAAAAAGAGGCATTAAGCAGGATAAATGACCTATGAGGAACAATTCCTCAGATTCAGGAAGATACTGCATTCTAAAATAAAAATAAGCTACTATGAAGTAAAGGCAGAAGAACAGGAAAGAATTCTTGGAAATTTAAAACGTGTGATTCCCAAAATTGGGTTAGTAGAAGAATTTCTACTCATTATAAGGGCTGAATTACAGAATGAAAATAGTTGAAAATCAAGTTTGTGACTGGAAGAACAAATTAGGAAATTATCCTTTGATAAAAATAACATAAGGAACAAATTCAGACTAGACCCAGGAAAATTTATAAAAGACATTAAAAAGGTATTTCAGAAGAAGGAAGAAAATGATGGAATAGAAGGAAGCACTATATTCAAAGGAATTATTAGAATAAAAATATTCCCAAAACAAAAATAGAATTTTTGAAAAGAACCTACCAAGTACTAGGCAGAAGTGTTGAGAAACCTCACATGCTTAGACACATCCTGATTATTTGATTTTTGTTTTTTTAACCCAAGAATAAAGAGAGCTTCTAGGAAGGGGTGGGGGTAAAATGATTACTTAGAACCTCTCCACCCCTCCTCTCTAAAATTAATGGCATTCGCCTACTCAAAAATAAAGATTACACATAGGAAATCAATATTCACAGAATTCTGATGGACAATGACTGGGAATTAGGTGTCATTATCTGTCCAGTCATTCAAATTTGATGAAAAACATATTAAAAAATATATTTTTAACTGTGCAGAGACTTAACACATTCCATATATCCTTTCTGAACACCATATGTAGGTCTTCTCCAGAAAACAGGATAAATCACAAAAAGGATAGACCTTGGGAAAATATCTATAACAAATATAGTAAACAATGAGTTAATGTTTCTGATATTTGCCTTATCCAAATTTTTTAAAAGACAACTTAATAGAGAAGTAGATAAAGGATATGATCAGGTCAATTTACAAAGCAACTATGCATGGCCAACAATCCTGACCAATAATTGAAGAAATGCACGTTAAAATTTTTCTATATACCAACAAATATTTAAAATTTTAGTAATAAGCAGTGTTGACTAGTGTGTAAGAAAAATGGGTATATAAATTGATATTACCACTTAGGATTAAATTTTAGCTTCACCTGCCAATGTTAAATGATGCCATTTGACAAAGCTTTCCCATTTCTAGATATCTATCCTACATAAATACTCAAAGGTTTGTAGAATATAAAAATATTTATTTATTTTAAAGATTTTATTTGAGAGAGAGAGTAAGGGAGAGAGAGTGAGCGAGAGAGAGTGAGTGAGCGAGAGAAAAAGAGACACAAGCGGGGATGGGGGGAGAGGCAGAGGGAGAAGCAGACTCTCCCACTGAGCAGGGAGCCCAACACGGGGCTCGATCCCTAGACCCTGAGATCATGACCTGAGCCAAAGGCAGACGCTTAACCAACTGAGCCACCCAGGCGCCCCTGTACCAGAATATTTAAAGCAACACTTTGTAATAGGGAAAAATGGAAACTGTCTATAAGGAACAAGTTTTCAAAAAAGTTATAATACAACCATATAGTGTAATACTACACGGCACAAGAATGAAGTAGATTAAATGTACTGATATGAAAAGATGGCTGTAATAGGTAAAAAATGTAATTGTGGAACTGTGTATTTATTGTGATTCTCATTTTTTTAAAAACACTGTATCAATGTTTGACTATTCATAGAACAAATTTGAAATGGAACACATCAAATTGTTAATAGTTGCTAGATCTGGAGATGGGAGAGGGCAGGAGTCCAAAGTAGACATTCGTTTTATTTTATAAACTATATAAGTATATGTTATTTTTGTAATCTAAAGAAAAAAATGCTTAGTCTTACTCATCCTTTTATATCTGTAACATATACTCCGTCATTGGATAATTTTGACATTTTCTCAATCGGATTACTCTGAGTTCCCATAGTGGGAATTCTTTTACTGTAACAATCTTTTCATTTTACTTTCCACTCTTGTTGACACATTTTTCTTATATATATCTGGAAATCCTTATTTTTTTCTTTGTCGTAATGACAGTTTGCTATCTTATATATACTAAACGTTAGTTGCAAGACTTAATGTGTAAATCCAGTATCCTATTTGTTGAGTACTTTTGGAGAATATATAGACTCTGCTTTTGGTTAGTATAATAAAACATGTGTCTGATGTTTGTTTCTTCTGTCTCACCTGGAGTTTTTTTAAGCAGCAGCTAAATGTTTTTCTGGACTAAATCCATGCAAAGGTGAAGTAAAAGTCAGTTTATCAATTAAATATTTAAGATCAAAATATGAGATTCACAGTGAAAGTATGGGTTGATACGTGCTTTTGTATTAGTATTAGATACTTAAAAATTTTTTTTTCTCTAAGTTTGGAATAGTTGATGCTGATGGATATTTAAGTTTATATCAAACAAACTGGAAATGTTGCCCAATAACTGGAAGCATGCCTAAGCCATACCTGGTAAGCCAAAAATTCTTACCTTTAAACTTTTTAGAATTTTTATTTTATTTTATTTTTGTTATTTTTGAGAGAGAGAGAGAGTTGGGGGAAGGGCAGGGGGAGAGAGAGAATCCCAAGCAGGCTTCATGCCCAGCATAGAGCCCTGCATGGGGCTCAGTGTCACAACCCGAGATCACGACCTGAGCCGAAATCTAGAGTGGGACACTGAAGTGACGGAGCCCCCTAAATAGCCCTTGAATTTTTATTTTTAAGAAATCAAGAATATATATTTGAGGCAATAAATATTAAAGCCAAAAAGTAAAATCTGCGTAGTTCTGTGTATTCAGTCACTTTACTATAAGCTACTGTCCTTGTGTTATGTGAAAATTAGTCTGTGAGGTATAAAAATTCTTAGTCTCTGGTAACTTGGAAAATTAACCTGTATCGAAGAAACATGGTACCTCCAGAGCAACGTGTGGGTTACTCAAGCCCTTTTCCAGCCTCACTAAGCTACAGTGGGGATTATACCTAAAAAGAATGATCAACAGACCACGCATCTGGTGTTTTTTTTTTTTTTGCATTTAGCCCTTATGAACAAAGTAGAAAGGATATGCTGTAGCTGGCACAATTATTTTCTTGTCCATGTCTTTTTTTTTTTTAAGATTTTATTTATTTATTTATTTGAGAGAGAGCAGAGAGAGGAGCAGAGGGAGAGGGACAAGCAAACTCCACGCTGAGTGCAGAGCCCAACATGGGGCTCTCTATCTCACAACCCTGAAATCATGACCCAAGTGGAAATCCAGAGTCAGAACTCAAGTGACTGAGCCACCCAGGTGCCCCTTGCCCATGTCTTTTTAAAAAAAAAATTGATACATCTCTATACGGGACTGCACAAGCTTAATGAACCTTCTACAGCTTCATAGAACACTGAGTTTGTATTTAATATATTCTTTAATGAAGCCCTTCATAGGACTAAGCAATACCTATTAGGAAAATATTAAGAATATGAGTTAAGATTCTGGTAATTCACTCAAGGTTAAATTCTGGAATATGGTACTGATCTAAGTGAAAGTAAGCAAGGGGAGGGTTGGTGAGGGTACTTTGAAAGCATATTTTTCCTCATATTTTTATTAAGCCAATGGATTTAAATATATGTTTATGTTCCCTTAGGGGCTGACTTTTTTATTGTTGTTTAAGCTCTAAAAAGATAAATTGGATTGAAAATGTACATTATTGGTTTTGTGGGGTTAAAGTATATTTTGTTTGTTTTAAGGACGTATCTAGCCCAGCTCCAGTGGTAGTCAGGGGAAATGGGGAAGTGACTCAAAAGAAAAATCTTATGTGATGATTTTGACATACTTAAAAAAAAAAATCTTTTTTTTTTTTTGAAGAGAAACATTTGAACAAATATAGCTTGGAAGTCTTTGTAATAGACTAAACCTTTCATATTAAGTTACTGTTTGATGGAGTATTCAGAAATATTGTAAATTTTCTAGTTTTGTTGACTTAATAATATGTTTTTATTCCCATATTTGAAAAATTATTTAACGATGAGAGACTCTTAACTATAGGAAACAAACTGAGGATTGCTGTAGGGGAGGTGGGTAGGGCGATGGGAAACTGGGGGATGGGCATTAAGGAGGGCACGTGATGTGATCAGCACTGGGTGTTAAATACAACTGATAAATTACTGAACATCTGAAACAAATGATATACTATATGTTGGCTAATTGAATTTAAATTAAAAAAAGAAAAAAATTATGAGTTTAAACATTTCTGAAAATAAATAATTTAGTCCGAGATAATCTAAAATTCTAGTTTTTCTAAGAAAAAAAATTTCACAAATATCTAAGAGAAATATTTAACATTTAACCTCCTTTTGTTTTCTTTTGAACTTTTAGATAAACAAAAGCATAGGGTCTTGTAAAGTCTTACAATGCATATGGTTCAGGGAAAGTGTGTGAGAGAAAGAGAAAAAGAGAAGAGGCAAAACAAGTGTTGCAAAATGTTCAAAATTGGTGAATCTGTATAAATGGTGTATGAGAATTCTCTGTATTACTCTTGAAACTTGTCTAAAGTTTGGCAGGGGAGACTAAATCAGCTTAAGTAAGCCACAAATTACATGATCCCTTTTTGATTAATGCATCTACTTGGTTTTAAAATTGCTAGTGACAGCAGTAACATTTGTTTGTTTCTAACTGTTCCAGACTTGGCAGTGTCACAACAAAACAGCCAATGATTTTGTCTTTGTTAGTTCCTCCTCTTTGATAGCTACAGCTGGTCTTTCAACTGACAATAGGTAAGAGATTATAACTGAAATGTAGGTGTGCATCTGTATAGCTGAACTTTATTTTTTATTTGCTTTATATTTTTGTGTCTCAAGAATGTTTTCACAGTTATGCTTTTCAATATTTTTATTGTAAAAACTTGTTTCTTAGAGCAGTTTTAGTGTTTTAATTGTAAAGCTAGGGAAATTCTGGTGGCATTAAAAACAAAATCCATTCCTTCTGTATTATTAATATTCTAATGTTAAGACTTTAGGAGAAAAGGATTTGATAGTGAAATTAATTTTTCTCCATATTATTCCTTATGTGTTAAGAAAGCTTGAGGCAAAAAAAAAAATAACTATTATTTATTGGTCCACCTTCCTCATTAATCCTCATGGTGGCTCTATTAGGTTAAGGTATTATCAGCATTTCATGATAAGAAAACTAGAAACTCAAAAGACTTTTTAGTTGAACAGTAGCTAGTGACTGGCAGCCTATTGCCATCTCCCCTAAAACCTTAAATATGTGAGAAGATGTCTCCTCCTGCCTCAATCTCCACAACCCCCTGTTTCACTTCCCTCATATAGTGGAATTCTGAGTAAATGCTTCTACTTCTGAGCAAATGCCTACTGAGGTTGCTGAACTTCTCTATTTATCTGTGAGGCCTTACTTTGTACTAGAAATCGGACTGTAGGAATATGGAGTCTTCAGCCCATCTTGCATAGAAATTCTTACATATATTGGTGCGTCCTTTGCAACTCATAGAAAGGAGTAAAAGCTACTCCCATTCATAGCAGAAATAAGTTTTTTATGTGCTCCGAAAAATTCAGTGTATCCTGCTATTTGTGTATGTCAGTCCCTCTGTTAGATTAGAGAATCAAGAGATACAAAAAGTAGTTTCTGCATTCAGGCTTTATATAGTATTTGTAAATACATGTCAGTCTAAAGTTACTCAGTTTTTTAAGTTAGTAGTTTTTTAAATTTTGTGTGAAAATCAATCATGCATAAATATATTGGCTACTTGTATTTGGATCTTTTATAAATTTAAGAACTTTTTGTGAGAGCAAGGTTCAAAGATTATGTAACGATACGAGACAAGTTTACTTTTTATTGTTAAAATTTTGTGTCATTCAAGAACTAATTTTTTTTTTTCAGGAACATATGTTTGTGGGATACTCTCGTAGCACCTGCCAATAGTTTAGTCCATGGTAAGTTTTGAAAGCATTTTGTAAGTTTTGGAAGTCAAGAAATTCATAAACTAAAAGAATTTTTCGATGGATTTGTCTTTAGTGAAACGTATTTATTAGCCTGTGAGGTTTATTTTGCCCACAGTGGCACAGAGTTTGAAAGCAGAAAAATGCAATATATAGAATTAACTCTTTACTATGAAGGACAGTAGTAGAACATAGATAATATAAAAATCATGTTTTTACTTTGGATCTGATAGCCACTCCTATTCTGCATTGTACTGGGAGTCCTAACAAATGCAATAAGACAAGAAAAAGAATTAAAAGATATTCATTTGGGAGAGAAGTAATAAAACTGCCTTCATTCACAGATGACATAATTATATAGAAAATCTTAAAGAATCTACAAAAGAAACCAAAAATATTTTAAATAGGAATTTTTGGAACTAACACACAAGTGTAGTTGAATCATGGGATTCCAGGTCAACATACTAAAAATCATTTGCTTTTATATATACTAGCAACAAACAATTGGGATTTGAAATTTTTAAAAAATCACCATTTATAATAGCATCCAAACTAATGAAGTACTGAGGTATAAATCTAACAAAATATGTATAGCCTCTGTTGGTGAAAACTATAGAAAAAAGATAAAAGAAATCAAAGATCTAAATAAATGGAGAGCTAGTCCGCATCCATTGTTGCTATCCAATGTTAAGATGTCCCTGCCTTCCAACTTTACAGATTAAATGCAATCCTAATCACAGTCTCAGCAAACTGTGTTGTCTGTATCAACAAACCGGTTCTAAAAGTTCCTATAGAGAGGCAGCAGACCTAGAATACTGGATTCTGAAGAAAAACAAAGAACTCATACTACCTGATTTCAGGACTTTAAAACTACAGTAATAAAAGACATTATGTGTTAAGAAGAGACACAGATCATGGAACAGAAACTATAACCCTTCTAGAAGGAAATACAGGAGAAAATCTGGGCAACCTTGGGTTTAGTCATGAGTTTTTAGATACAACATCTACAGCACAATCCAAGACTTGAAAAAATTACCCTCTTCTCAGTGTCTAAATGGCAAGTAAGCATATGAATAGGTGCTTAACATTGGTAGTCATTAGGGAAATGGAAACTAAATTCACCATAAGATACTACTCTATACCCTAAAATGGCCAAAATCAGTGATTCTGGAATCCCAAGTATTGGTGAGGATGTAGAGAACCTGGAACCCTAATGATTGCTGACAGAGTATAAAATGGTACAGCTGCTTTGGAAAACTGACTGGCAGTTTCTAACAAAGTTAAACATGTACCTATATATATGCCCAAGAGAAATGAAAACACATGTCCACAAAAAGATTGTATAGGAACGTTGTTAGCAGCTTTATTTATAATAGCCAAAAACTAGAAACAGTGCAAATATGTCCAACAGGAACCTGGTCTATTTATGTAATAGAATACTATTAAGCAATTAAAAAGGGCATGGCCTACTGATACATGGGACAATATTCATTAACCTCTAAAACATTATGTTGAAGGAAAAGAAGCCAGGCACAATAGAGTATATACCATAAAATTCCATTTATGTGAATTCCAAGAACAAGTAAACCTAATCAGATAGAAATCAGAATAGTGATTGCCTTTGTGGGAGAGGAGGGTTGACTACAGAGAGGCATGAGGGAACTTTCTGGGATGATGACAGCATTCTGTGTCTTGACCTGAGTGATGGTTACACAGATGTCTCCATTTGTCAAAGCTCATCAACGGTGTACACGTAGAATTTCTGCATTTTACTCTGTGTTAATTATATCTCAAAGTACTGGTAAAACTCAAAAAACCCTTCTCTATAATTTTTTCTTCAGATTCTTACAATAAGTATATTGAGTACTTAGCCAGGCACTCTACATGTTTTGAATATATTAACTAATTTAGTCCTCACGAAAACCTGTTAGGCAGGCTGGATTATCTTTTTTTACAAATGATGAAACTGAGACTTATATTTAAAAAAAAAAAAAAAATTCACCTAAGGTATACATTTAAACCCATGCAAAAAATCAAGATTTAAATCTTGACATTCTAACTCCCAAATCTTCATTCTTCATCTTTATGCCATATTAGCTTTGAGCTATTTACAGACTTTTTTTTCCCTAAGATTTGTTAGGCTGGACTTTTTTTTTTTTTTAAGAAAAAAATATTCATTGTATATATGTATTTCTGATACTTATATTGGTATGTCTTCAAGTTCACCAGTTTGGGGTTTGTTTGTTTTATGGCATTGTTTAATCTGCTCTTAGTCCGATGCAGTATATTTTTCACTTGAATATTATAGTTTTTAATCTCAGGACCTTTTATTTGTATCTTTCATGTCTCCTCTTAACAAGCTCAGTCTTTCATCGAGCTTCTTGAACATAGGGAATATAGTTATAATGACTTTTAGTTTCTTTATCTACTAATTCTATCATCTGTATAATTTCTAGGTTGGTTTCAGATTTTCTTCTTATGGATTGTATTTTCTATGCCTGTTAATTTTTTATTAGATGCCGGCATTATGAATTTTACCTACTTCTGAGGCAAACCCTTCTGAGTATTCTGTGCCTTGTGAATTACAAGGTTTTCCACTATGGCTGGTGGGAATAGGAACCCAGACCAATTGGGGTCCCCTTGTGCCATGGCCAGAAAACACTCAGTAGTCAATAAACAGGGGCAGTTGTATGGCTCACCCAAGTTTGCCTCCCATCTCTTAGAGATCATTTTCTCTTTGCTTGATGTCCAGTGTCTCAAACCATTGTTTCCTATATATCATTTTTTAAATTGAATCTGGTAATCTATCATTCTACCTTGGCCAGAAGCCAGAAGTCTGTTTCTTTAACCATTAAATGGCTTTTCCTTTTCTATTTTATTTTATTTTATTATTTTATTTTATTTTATATTATTTTATTTTTTAGCTTTTACATGCCATGATAGTGGAGCTACTGTTTTAGCATATGCTCCAAAGCATCAGCTGCTAATATCAGGTGGCAGAAAAGGCTTTACATGTGCATTTGACCTTCGGCAACGACAGCAGAGGCAGCTTTTCCAGAGCCATGATTCTCCTGTTAAAGCCATCGCTATTGATCCGACGGAAGAGTACTTTGTTACAGGATCTGCTGAAGGCAACATAAAGGTAAATACAGTAATGCCACGGTATCTACAAAATGAAAAGAAATCTTCAGAAACCTTAAGTCTTTAATCATACTGAGGATACCAGTCTATTTAAATAATAGAAATATTAACTCCTACTTGTGGTCAACATGTTAGTTGCTATTTAATAAACCTTTTAATGAATGAAATGATGTTTAACTTGAAACTGTCTCTTTCAATTGTTGTCAAATATGTTTAACTAATGTGCAAAAGAACATGATTTTCCATAGATAACAAACATATTTCAGGCATTGGAATTAGTCTTGACTCCCATTTTAAGAGTCACTGAATTCAGTTTCAGGTACTATGAAATATACTAACATTTTCCTTTATCCTGAATTACTCCCCTTTTTTTTTCATTTGTAAGCATTAGCATCCAGCCACAAAGTGCCTGATTCAAGAATTCTGAATGTACCTGGATAAACCCTGTCCTTCTCAAACTCTGCTGTGTTTAAATCTTAGAGGTTGTTTAAAATGTTAAGCAGCTTATTAAAATGCATCCCATCCTAGAAATACTGTTGCTAGGTCCCGCCCCAGAGATACTCAGATGGTAACTCTTAAGCTCAGGAATTTGCATTTTTATAATAAATACCTAGCAGTCTTGATGGAGGGTCCTCTGGCCACACTTGGAAAGATCTGCAGGGATAAGTCAGTTTAGACTCGTCCGTAAGTTATTGTAATGGTCAGCAACCCACTGAAGGAGCCTACATTTTTTTAAATTTAATTTAATTTTATTATGTTACGTTAGTCTCCATACATCATTAGTTTTTTGGTGTAGTTATCCACGATTCATTGTTTTCATATAATACCCAATGCTCCATGCAGTATGTGCCTGCATTCTTAAGACTCCATTGTTTTAACCCCTCGTGAGACTATTTAGTAAGAATAAGTTGGGCTACTTTGTTAGAACCTGCATATTGTTTTCATAATTATCAACCAGAAAAAATTAACTAGAAATGTGGAATTCTGAAAAGGCTTTTCAATCAATTATATACACCAACTTCCATACAGAGTTCTTTTCCTTCAGTTTGAAGCTAGTTTCTTATTTGAACTGCCTTCAGTTTAGAATAAGATGTATTATATTTTAGATTAGTTCTTCAGATTAGTTTGTGCTCTGATCCTAAGGTTTATTACTTAATCAAGTAAAAAAAGATTTGAAACTATACCATGTAGTATTCAGAAGTCACAACTTAACAATCCTGTCCAGAGTAGTATGAACTAAAGAATTTCTTAGGGAAAAGAAAGATTAAAAACAAAACAAAAAACAACAAGGATCTCAAAAAATCAGGAACTAATTGGATTTCCCCAAACTTAAAATAGATGCCCTGAAAGCATTTAGGTCCTTCACATAAGTGAAGATGCTTATAAAGTAATTTATAAGTAATTTACTTTAATAACAGGAATATTTATTTTGGTAGAGGCTGAAAATAGAAAATCTCAGTAAATTAAGTATACCAAAGTTGTGATAATTTATCTTACAGTTGGAACATAGTTTTGCCTTTTCTGAGGCCCTCTTTCCAGTGGTTCTAATCCCTTGCCGGGTATTATAAAGGATTACCCCATTATAAACTACAGAGCACAAGCTTTGCTGAGAATCCCTATAATATTACAAGTTTTTATAGCATTGTACACTTAACCTCCTCTACCTAAGTTCTTCTCTCCAATGCAGGGTTTAAAATACTTTCCTTTCTAAATGGGTGGATTTTGAAGAATGTGATAATATCAAAGGGATTTGGAAAATTGCAACACAGAGTCAAAAGGTTATGACCTGGGCACCTGGGTGGCTCAGTTGGTTAAGCGACTTCCTTCGGCTCGGGTCATGATCCTGGAGTCCCGGGATCGAGTCCCGCGTCGGGCTCCCTGCTCGGCGGGGGGTCTGCTTCTCCCTCTGACCCTCCCCTCTCTCATGCTCTCTCTCTGTCATTCTCTCTCTCAAATAAATAAATGGGATCTTTAAAAAAAAAAAAAAAAGGTTATGACCTTAGGCTTACACAGGTTTTTTTCCATCTTTGTTTTAGAAATTCCTTATTTGCACAAGAAAGCAAGCCTAAATTTTCCATCACCCTCAATTTTTAATTTTGTTCCTAATGTCTTTCAGATTTGGAGTCTGTCTACCTTTAATCTTCTCCACACTTTTATCAGTGAACATGCCCGGCAGTCCATTTTCAGAAATATTGGAACTGGAGTGATGCAAATTGAGACAGGACCAGCAAATCACATTTTTTCATGTGGAGCTGATGGAACAATGAAAATGAGGATACTGCCGGATCAATTTAGCCCACTAAATGAAGTGTTGAAAAATGATGTGAAATTTATGCTATAACATTTTGACAATAAGATGTATAATTTATTCCCTGTTCCATGGAAGTAGCTAACACATATAATGTACAGTGATCACTCTCTCTGCCACAGATAAGCTAATGCTTTCTTGTTTTCATATTTATTTTATGGAGCTTTGCCCTTGATGCACTGATGCCTTAAAAATTAACAAGGTCATTCAGAATTAGACTATATTGCCTAAAGTAGACTGCATTGCATATTTATAGTATGTTATAGTGAGTATGTCATAGTGTTAAAGGAGTTTTGTGTTCTTATTGTTGATAAACTCTTCTGCAGATGTCTCTGTATAAATTTCTTTAACAGTAAAAATACCCTTTCTATAAAGACAGTTGACATCAGTCATCACTTCATTCACCGCCCCCTTACTTCTTTTGTCAAACTGATGGATCTCAAACTCTTCTTCTGTTAGTTCATGATAGATTAACAGTTGGGCAAGAATAAAAACCCTAATGAACATCTTCATGAAAAACTGTCGCTGGGACCTCAGTGATTAGGACCCAGATGGCTCATTAGATCAGGTTCCCCGTTTCGTGTCTGGAGCCCAAGTGTGTTTGTATGTATGTAATATATCTTACACACCTTATTTGAGCTTAGTCTGTGTATATATCAGAAAATTACAAGTCTTTCCGTGTGTTTTTGTGCCATAGCAACTCCTGCCACTAGAATAACTTTTTTTGCAACTGTTTTTTTCCGTGTTTTTTTGTTCTTAATTTTTGAATTCCCATCCTAATTTTCAAATAATTTCAGGAAGACATCTGAGATTATTATTTTAAAGATTATCTTGAGTCAAATAAGTCTTCGCAGGCAATAACGATTCTGTGCTGGCATATATGAGACGCTTAAAAGTAAGTTTATAAAATTGTCAAAGGATTTTAGAGCACCAAACATTTTACTTACTTTTTTTTTTTAGGTGCTTTTAGTCTCAAAGTTCTGAACACCTTATAGCAGTGTTTTTAGAAACAAATGTGAAAACAAATTAAATAGATAATATTTACACATGTAAAATACCTGCCAGATCTACCATTAATAGAAAATAAACTAAACCTTATATTTTATTATTTTTTGCCAAAATATATTATTTTACTATAAAATATGACCAAAATATTAAAAATGCACAGTGCTTTTAACTTAAATGTGCTAATAACCCTATTTCTGTCTGTTTTGTGCTATATCTTTTCTGATTAAAAATTATAGGCCACTTGAATAAATACTTGAGTTTAGCCAAGGAGACTGGAGGCAGATGGGACTAAGTGTTTAAGGGACAATTATATACTATGTAGCTTAAATATATTTTAATAGGAACTATAAAAACATTTTTACATGACAAAATATGAACAACTGTTAACTTGGAAATTAAAGAGTCAAAGTGAAGAAATGAAGGGCTGGTAAAATGAATTTTGTAATATCCTCAGGATACTTTTATCTTAAAAGTATATTGTTAAAGATTTTGTAAATTGTATTCATAATTTTAAATGTGTTAAGCTAGTTGCAGTGAAAACACTGCCATTGATTATGTAGAGAGTTCGTGTGCACATCATAACCTGTGTCTACAACCGTCCAGTAACAGTAACCACATGTGACTGCTTGGCTACAGAGAGATCCGTGGCCACATTGCGAACGATACTGCTGTGTGATGTAGTTCAGCTTAAGTTATTTTTCAGTAACTACACAAATCAAGATTCAAAAGGCTTTAAACACTTTCAGTGAGAGAGAAAATTTATTATGCTTATTAGAAAAAAGGCATCGTGGATGAACAATTAAGCATTTTAATTGAGGGTTTATATGAGTAATAAATAATGTAAGCCCATATGTATTTACATCAGAGTCATAATATTTTAAATAAACAATCATGCAGTGACTTTTTTTTTAGCATGCTATTGTTTTAAGTAATATTTATACAACTTTGGTTGACTTAAAGTATATGTGACATTTTAAAATAGAGAATTTCTGTATTTATATTTGGTAAATATAGGAAGGATTGAGTAATTTTCCTAAATACCTTGTTCTTCCTTTTCTATAATCTTTTTAACTTAATATATAAGCATTATTCAAAAAAAGGTGAGAATAAAAAGTTGAAATGTATATTTAAGTATAAAATGATGTACATACATGTAAAATTTTATCCACATTAATGGAATGGGTTCATCAAAATACGTTTTTTAAATTGTGCATTTTCTGAGAATGTGGCTTTGAAACGATGGAAAAGTTTACAACATTGCAAGTCTCATTTTCTGAAATGGAGGATTTTTCTTATGTAGAATCATGGGACAGTCAATTCTATCCTCCTTTCTTGTTCTCTTTGTTTTGCCCAAATTAATTTCTCCTTTTTTAAAAAATTACTTTTAAAAATTGCAACAATTTCTCACTCTGGTCTCAATAGTCAGAGTACAATACAAAGATACCCACTTTAAGAAAGTCCTTATACAATCTTAAAGTGGTGATGACCTTTTTAACAGGGTTGGAAAGCCAGACAGACATATTTTACTAAACAAAAAAACATAATCGCATGGCAGGGGACCATCGTCAAAGTTAAAAGAACAGGAAGACTATAAGAACTATTTGTATAGTAATAGGAAAATTATTAATGTCCATATATGCAGAGAGAACTTTAAAATGAAATTGTTGGAGAAGTCAGTTCACAGAACAGGACATTGAAAAAGTCAGCAGGTATAAAGTATGTTCATCCTCACTAATGGTTAAAGGAATGTTAAAAAAAAAAAAAAGCAACAGTGTGATACCACTTGTCATCTGTTAGGTTGGTATAAAGTCAAGGGACAACATCAGTGTGGTGGAGATGCAAGGAAACAGGCACCCTGAAACACTACTGGTAGGAGTAAGTTGCCAGAGTCACCTAGATGCATGTCAAATTTGAGTACACATACTTTCACTAAGCAGTCTCACTAAGAGTCTTACACTAAGACTCACTAAGTAAGGCTTACTTACTAACTTACTTTATCCTATAAGGATAAAAGCCCCTATGCACATAAATATGTGTACATAGATGTTTATTGAGCTATATGGAGAAAAAAACTAGAAATCTAAATGTTAATTAGTTGGTAAATAGTTAAATAAAATTGTCGAACATCTGGCACTAAAAGAATGCCAGATTGGTAACTTGATCTAAAAAGAGGTTAGTGAGAAAAATTGCTAAAAGGTAAACATCCCATATTGTTCCAGGTTTTTTAGTCCTATATGTATATACAGACAAATATGTATGGAGGAATACACAAAAGTTTAACATGGGAGAAGGGAAGAAGGAGCTAATACTTTTCCAAACTCCTTTGGACCTCACTGAGTAACAGGATATCAGAGAGACAGAAAATCTGTATCTTTAAACCACATAGTACTTAATGACTGAGAGCTGCTCTGTTGAATGAAGTGGCCTTGTCAAGAATACTCTGGATTGAGATATTTGATGCTTGATTAGAAAGGTTAAAATGTTGCCCTTCGGAGTACTTGGAAAAAGTTGAACATAGTTACTTATATGTCTTATAGAAATGTGTATAGCTTTTGCTATAGTTATTTTCAGATCTGTTCTTTAGCTTTTTGTTTTGTTTCTTAAAGATTTTATTTATTTATTTGACAGAGACACAGCGAAAGACAAGCAGGGGCAGTGGGAAAGGGAGAAGCAGACTCCCCGCGGAGCAGGGAGCCCGATGTGGGGCTCAATCCCAGGACCCTGGGGTCATGACCTGAGCCGAAAGCAGACGCTTAATGACTGAGCCACCCAGGCGCCCCTTGTTTTGTTTTTTAAAGATTTTATTTGTCAGAGGGAGAGACCACAAGCAAGGACAGTGGCAAGCAGAGGGAGAAGCAGGCTCCCGGCTGAGCAAGGAGCCTGATGTGGGGCTCCAGCCCAGAACCCTGGGATCATGACCTGAGCTGAAGGCAGACGCTTAACTGACTGAGCCACCCAGGCATCCCTGTTCTTTAGTTTTTCGTGACTTTTTTGCCCCCTTCTCCTTGCTTGTTTTTCTCCTGTGTATATGTGGCCAATAATTGAAGAAGCTCATGCGGTCAGAGTATCGAAATGTTTAATAAGGCTCCTGGGAATAAATATTTCTTAGGTTCTCCCACAGCAAATACACATGGGTGATAGAAATCACTGGTGTGACAAAACATTTCTTTCCACAGTAGAGATGTTTTACTCCTGCATAATTGTCCACCCAAGTGTAGGTATGACCTGTGTAACAGATTTTAAGCAGTATGGTACATCAGCCCCGGATAAGTGTTAAATCATTTTAAAATCTATATCCCTCCCCCCATACAAAATACCAAAACACCAGTGTTTTCATCCTGTTACTGCTCCCAGGTCAGGCATGATCCCCAGGATCCCGTTATTGAAATCAGGTCCTAGTGTGTATTTGGCTCCTTGAATGAGGTTCCTTGTGTCGAGTACTTCTCAGTCTAAAGACCTACAAACTAAGGAGACAAGTTATGTGCCTTGCACTCACCAAACACAGTTGTGAGAGATAGTATGGCTATTTCCCTCTCTAAAAGAGGGGAAATAGGAGTCACAGGGTACCCGGTCCATTGAGATTCTGAAGTTTAGCTGAGAAGTCACCAGTGCCATGAGTAATCCTCGAATTAATTCTCCACAACTCTTGACTCCACCCTTGGGCTGTTTTTTCTTTTAAATTCTGAGTGAGCTTTTTTCTATAAAAGTGGCCCATGTTTTTAACTGAAAAGAGTGTCAGCCTGTTCCTTGGCAAGAGTTGTTTCAGGGTTCAGAATCCTCTTTACATTTTGTGCTATCCCTGTCCCTTATACTTCATCTAGTAAAATTGCTTTAAACTGTTTCTTCTGTATTAACTTCATCCCCTCAGAAGAAAAGGCACACTCAGACTTTTTTTCTGAAACGCACTCTGAGCTACCTTGAGCTACCCTCCAAGGTTGCTGTGGTATACCACGTTAAGATTCTTAGAAATTCTAGTATCTCATGAAAAGGGTCTACATGCCACACCCTTAAATTTTTCTGAAATCTCAACGAAAGGACTTAACAAACACAACATTGGCCGTGTCTCGATTCCAAGATAATTTATAATCCACTACAATGTTGGATAATTTTTTAAAAATATCCATGAGGCCAAACAAACAGTTGCTGGAATGGAGGGGGGTGGGAGGGATGGGGTGGCTGAATGATGGACATGCAGGAGGGTATGTGCTATGGTGAGCACTGTGAATTGTGTAAAACTGTTGAATCACAGACCTGTACCCTGAAATAAATAATACATTATATGTTAATAAAAATAAAATATCCACGAGGCCATTGTTATGTAGAGAGACGTGCATGTGTGCTCACACGGACACAGATAACACATATACAAGGAGCTAGCACAGCAAATCTTTACTCTGAAGATGGGTAGTCGGAGGGAAAAGAGAGAGGCTATTATAGGAGAACAAGAGCCCACCAGGTGAGGGTGCTGTGCTGGGAGTGTTCAAGTAGTAAGGTGGGAGCTTTCCTGGTTTAAAATCAAGTGCAGGGTTGCCAACTTGGACTAGCATTTCATGGGTAAGAACACAGGAGAACTCCAAGGGTTTTAGACCGTGTTTGTAGAAAAAGATCTTTTCAAAGTAGAATTACACAGCCAAAGACAAGAGAAAACAAAACTAAGCTTTGTAGTATTTGGGATAGGCTCAAGTGAGATTTGAGATAGTCAAAAAGAAGAAAATTCAGGTGAGGAAGAACCTACATAGACAAGGAGTCCAGTGGTGCAACCACAGAAAATTAAGGGTTCTAACTAGGGGCAGCACTTTAGTTTCTATACAGAATGCCTCAAAGTTTGAAAATCTGGAAACATGGAGAGAACTCGGTTTCATGGGGAGGGTAGTTGATTGAATTGGCTAAGATTGTGGATAAAGTCGCCCTTTGATACAGGCAATACTTCTAGCAAGCTTTCTTCAGAAGAGGTGCATTTCAGTGACTGTTATAGGAGGTAAGTAATTCCGAATAAAGAGTGAAAAATACTCTGTGATGAATGTATAATCACCAGTGATCTGTACTAGCTATGAGTTGGGGTTGTGGTCTATGGAAGTAATAGGAAAAGATACTGATCCCCAAATTTTTATTCTATCTTCGAGTTTCTAGTTTGCCTGACATTGAACAATTCTCCTACCCAACCCAATCTGCACCTTTGTTTGGAAAAATGTATATACTTTTTACTCATGTGGTTACATTAAGGACAAGATTACATGTTATGGGGCGCCTGGGTGGCTCAGTTGGTTAAGCGACTGCCTTCGGCTCAGGTCATGATTCTGGAGTCCCGGGATTGAGTCCCGCATTGGGCTCCCTGTTCGGCAGGGAGTCTGCTTCTCCCTCTGACCCTCCGCCCTCTCATGTGCTCTCTCTCTCATTCTCTCTCAAATAAATAAAATCTTTAAAAAAAAAATTACATGTTATGATAATGCTCTGAAAAGAGAAATAGGCCTGGAAAGAGTTGAAGCAGCAGACTGTCAGAAAATGAGTTTGGAGGCTGGTGAAGTTATAGCCATGTTTTGAATCAGTCACGTTCTTTCACAGACTTTCATGAAAATGTGGTTAGTGCACAAAGGCCACATAGGCATTTCCCTTGGCTGTGTTTAAGGTGCACAGCCTTGCTTCAGTGCATTTAGCCTCTGGAAAATGTTAGACCTGATCTTCCTTCTCTCTCTAGACACTTCCCAGAGAGCCCTTCTGTCTGCCTGGAAAACTCCAGTTCATCCTTCTTGACTTGGTTGGGTGGAAGCTCCTTTGTGAAAGCTTCCCCGTTCACCCAGGGAATATGAGTCACTTCCACTCTCCTCCCAGAGTATATGTGCATACATTTTTATTGCTCATATCATGGTACCATGTAGTTCTTTGCTTGCACTAAAAAAAAA